TGGTACGTTTTTTTTTCTAAATTCTGTTATTTAAGGGTTGAGATGTTTTAATAAAACATTGACATAGATTCTGGATTTGTTATATTTGTGTAGTCTTGTTACAATAACGCTAACCCGAAGATTAACATTAGCCTTAACCGTAACCAGTCATCGTCCCCATCTTCTACCCTAATGTGAATCCTAAAAGTAGTTCTTGACCAAAACCGTAGTCAGCGACGTCATTTCTTCTTCTTCTTCTTCTTCGTTCTTAATTATTAGTGTTGAAGGGGTTCGAGATTTATCTGCCAGTGGGTTTGAACTCGAGACTTTGTTCGAATTTATCAACCGTGAGCTTTTTTTTTCCGACTCGACCACGCCTCCAACACAATTAAGCGGTACGTGTCGACTGGTTATGCGCCATTGAGGCCATTGACTCCGATTTCAGCCTGCTTTTCTTTTCTGGATTTGCTTCTATAGCCTTTGTCCAACCAAGAACAAACTACAAGGCAGCAGTTGTTTAATTTTGGAGTTGTCTCTCCTAGAAGAGTGGCTGTCCCCAGCTAACGAGCCTCATCTGCCCGAGGGTTCGAACTCGAGACTTTTCGGTTTAGCAACCATGAGCTTTACCGACTCGACCACGCCGACCCCTGACGTCATTTAATTCGGTGAAACTCGGTGCGTTAACGTAGACTGTCACCCCTTCCCACCCCCACCTCTTCGGTAACGTTCTAGCTACATTTACTGTCATTTACCTATATTGCGGTCATGCCTCAAATTTTTCAATGGTGTCACCCGGTGCCGTCCCCACTCCCCTCCCACGCCTTGTGACGCTACTGTCCACGATCACCCCCCCCCATCTCCAGTCCCACCCCGGGCCCCAACCCTACCCCTACCCCTAGCCTCTGACCATAGCCGTAAACGTTGCCTCATTCCCTAACCCTAACAACCACCCCTAACCCAATACATGTACTTCCTACTCGAAAAACTCGAGCGGCGTTTTTTTAATTAAATTCAATAGTGCTATACGTTGGGTGATCGATTTCACTCAATAAAGTGACGCTTTTGTTCGATCGCTGCAACTATTTTAAATAAATTTGTCTTCAGTTTAAAGCAGGATAGGTGTTATTTGGGATAGATGTCATTTAGGATAGCTGTCATTTAGGATAGGTGTAATTTAGGATATTTGTCATTTAGGATAGGTGTAATTCAGGATGTGTCATTTAGTATTGGTGTCGTATAGGAAAGATGCCATTTTGAATGTGACATTAAGTATGTGTTATTTTGGATATGCGTAATTTAGGATATGTATCATTTAGGATAGGTGTCATTTAGGATATGTGTAATTTAGAATAGATGACATTTGATATAAGTGTCATTTAGGATAGGTGTCATTTAGGATAGGCGTTTAAGTTTTTTTTTTAAGTCTTAAGATAAATAAAAAAGTATTTACGGCCTCTTTGATGGCGAAATGTCAACAATAAGAATAGAATGATTCCAGTCAACTAGTTATATCCTATATCTAAGACGTTCTTGTTAGCCTCGGTACTAGCTGTATTTTATACTCAAGTATGTGACTTATTTTATTTTTATATTATACTCTAAATTGATATTTTATATGGCATTTTTGGTGACATGATTGATGACATCTGAAGTGGCGTTCTGTATGTCATTATAATGAACATCCTTGTTAAGATACTTGTTTAATCAACTTTTGGCAGCTAGTCATTGTTACGTCTACGCAATTGTGTCATTTATATGACATCATCGTTGTATGACATCTCAGCCGGTGTGACGTTAACTCGTGGCTACGCTGCGCAGCGTGGAATAATGTTTGCACCTGTTGCATTACAAGTGTGTATGTGTGTGTGGGGGGGGGGTGTGGGTGTGTGTAGGTGTGGGTGTGTGAGTGTAGGGTGCTAGGTGTGGGTGGGTGGGTGGTAGTGAGGGATGCGGGTGTTATGTGTATGTGTGTATGTGTGTGAGTGTGAGGGTGTGGGTGTGAGTGTGTGTGGGGGGTGTGGGTGTGTAATCTCTCAGTTTCAGCCCCTAAACGCAATGGCTGACCATCCCATCCTATCCCCACCGAGCCAGTCCTGCAATAGTTTACTTTTATATGTTTTGATGAACATATGTATAAAAACTCTAAATTCAGGAGCAACGCAGAGGCGTAGCGAGGTCGGGTGTCACCCGGTGCGGCACTTAATGGTGTCACCCCCCAGAGGCGTAGCGACCCTTCCCGGGGACAAACTTTCAAGTTTTCGATTTGCACCCATTTCAAGCTTTCGATTTGCACCCCCCCCCCCTCCCCCCCCCCCTCAAACTTTCGATTTCCACCCCCCTCAAGTTTTTCTCTATATATTTTGCTAGTTTTTGCCTTGGTGTCACCCCCCTAAATGGTGTCACCCGGTGCGGTCCGCACCCCCCGCCCCCCCCCCCTCGCTACGCCCCTGGAGCAACGTATCATATGTTGTATGCTTAGTTTCTATCTGATAATTGTTTCTATGTATCGGTTAAAGCGTGTTGTCAAGGACAGCGTAGAGTGCTAGATTGCTAACCCGAAAGTCTCGAGTTCGGATCCCTAACTCGCGTCTGTAGGTAGTCGCTGAGTCTATTCAGCTCTAACCTGTACCTGACTGAAGTTAAAGAAAGGAAGGCGGCTAGGTACAGTGCTGACCACACTATCCCCGTGTATGTTGATGTCGTTGAAACAGATGAACTCTACTTCATCTTCCGTGTCTTGGGTCCGAACGGGAAATATAATGATGATGATCGGTTATATATGGTATTATATCGACGCCAACAAAGCCTTACTACATAACAAGACAACTGCGGGCTAGTAGCCGTCATGGATAAGATGCTATACGACCTGACCAAGGTCAATGTCGCGCAAGAAACATGATGGGGATATAGGGCTGGTAAGTAGGTCACCAACCAGTTCTATGGCTCATGCAGGTTTTATTGAGCCGTAGAACAGGTTGGTGACCTACTTACCAGCCCTATTGCGGGGCTCGAAGGCTTATGTATAAATACTAAAGTCTTAAATCAAATCAATAAAACAGAACAAAATGTAAAATTAAATTTATTTTATACAAATGTTAAACTACATTATATTCGTTATTGCTTAGACAAGGCTGCTGATGATATTTTTTGCAATGTCTAAATTCACATTTTGCACAAATATGAACGAATATAGTTACTTTTTTAAAATAAAATCAATACGACAGAACAAAATGTAAAATTTAAAAATATTTTGCACAACAAAGCATAACGGATTGGATGAAATTTAGCCTATGTAAAATATAGTTACCTTTTTTGAAAACAAACTATTGAATTTATTTCATCTTCTAATTTGAAATTACAACTAAACGCGCTGCATACTTTTCACATTTACAAGTGATCATTTATCTTGCACGTTATATAATTCTAAAATATGACACCCATCCAACTATTCTACTACATATAACATTTTCATAGACGAACCCATTTTCCCTCTCAATAAATAAAGGAAGCCAACTACTCGCACACTTCTACATAGTTACGAATAACGTCTAATGTAAATAATACTGCTCGACTGCTACTTTTGTCTAAAAATTAAAGTACCCTTTTGAATCCTACCGACTAAGGGGCAAATGAAGTAGAGTTCACCTACTTCAGTCACCTCGGCATTTGAAGAAATTGTGTAGTCAGCACTATGCTCAGCCGCCTTTACTTTGCACTGAGGGAGATGAATGTTGAAGTTGGAAAAAATGTACCAATATAACATATTTTCGCTTCATGATAGGTCGTGGTATTTTATTTATATATTTTCTAATATTTAAAAAAGAAGCCCTTGAATATTACCTTTGAACCATATCGGACTGTTGTTTTATTGCGGTGGTAAAAACTCGCTCTTATTACGACATCATTTATAATACCTAAACTAATACTTTAATATAGAAAAATGCACTATGTTAATTACTTATTTCCAAACAAATCTGTATCTTTTATTTAGAATCTGCTTATTTTCACTAAATTAAAAAGAAAATCCCCTCCAAAAAAAAACTGAATCAAAAAACAACTCAATAAATATATCTTTACATATATGAAAAAAAATGACAATTCGTCCAGCATTAGAAATGTCAATGTAACCATTGGATCAATATATTGCATACAATGTCCCTAGGGATAAAGCAGCCAACATAATAACTCCATAGAAAAATGCTACTACTACTTTTGCTTTTGTTTTGGCGATTTGTACATCATTACTTGAAGAATTTTTGGATTTTTCATGATGCGAGCTGGGCGAGGTGTCCTTAGCTGTTGAAAAAGATAGCAATGTGATTAAATCGTGAAGTTATTGTTTTCTTTAAAGAGGAAATGCTGGAATCGTTGTTGGGATTAAGGTTCAACTGCCCTTACGCTCAATCCTGGAAACATGAAAACACATGACGACAATATATATATATATATATATATATATATATATATATATATATATATATATATATATATATATATATATATATATATATATATATATATATATATATACTAAAATCAGCTTTGTTGATAAGTTTGTATATATGCAAGTTTGCCTATATCACTAAATCAGATGATTTGCTATATGTGTAGAATGTTAACATACGAAAATCGGCAAAAAAAGAAATATTTTAATTCCAATGCACGTACAAATATTAATATTTTTAAGGACTTTATTAAAAATAAACTTGCCGTTACCCAAAGGATAAAAGGTGATCTAGTATACTATTTTTTTTTTATTTACAAGAACAAACTCCAAAACCAAACTGTGTTGAAGTACAACCGGTAAGGATGACGTCAGTGGTCTATGTGGTGCATAACATGAAGAGAATCTCCACGGATGGAACAATTCAGAACAAAGAAAAAATTACTTACATTGTTTTCTTTCATTTGGCTGAGTGATTGTATAAGTGTTGCCGCTACCAGAAAAAACTGGACCCTTGCAATTATTATATGAACTGAAAATTTTGACGTTGTCAGCCTCTGTAAAACATATAAAAACATGCGTTATATATATATATATATATATATATATATATATATATATATATATATATATATATATATATATATATATATATATATATATATATATATTATATATATATATATATATATATATATATATATATATATATTAAGGGCTTTGGTATCAGTTTGAGTGACTACATTAAAAAATTACTTGACTGCAGGGAATAGTCAATCTCAGTTAGAAAATGTAACTATAATCGCACATGTGTGTTACTAAGAAAACATAAGTAATGTAGGCTGTAGCTAATGTAGTAGCCTTACTTTCCAGTGAGTCTCTGGCTCCGTCTTTTTTCAAATCTGCAATAGTGAATACAATTATAAATATACTTAATTTTACCGTAGGTGAATTATATGTATAGGTGTATGTGACGAATGAAATACATGAGCAAAGATTTTTTTATATACCGGGCACGGTATATTTAGCTAGTGCGGCAAAATTTGAATAATTAAACAGTCAAAGTTTTATGTTGAAGGTCTGGCTTAAACGACATTGTTTCAAAAGTACGAATGAGGAGATGGAGATGGCTGCGTCTTGTCCTTCGCATGAACAGAATAAGACTCACAAACATAGCGCTAAAATGGACACCGCCTCGAAAACGAAAGAAAGGAAGACTTCGGGAACATGGAGGAGAGAGATGGAAGAAGAAATGCAGGCTACTGGCAAAACCTGGCACGAATTGAAGTGGCTCACCCAGGACAGGATGGAATGGTGGAGATTTTGTTGCTGCCCTATAGTCCACAGGGAGTGTCGAGGATTAAGTAAGATATTTATGAAAATAAAAATTATTATCAATGTGGCTATGAAAAGAACCATGTTTTGATTATGCTTAAATAAGTATCAGAATCACACCCACACATTCAGATACTTAAAGCTATCCTTACCTTCTCTTTCAACTGTAAATGCTTTAACATCTTCTCCTTCCTCATTTGCAACAACACAACTATAAGATCCAAAATCCTCCTTTTTGAAACTTTTAATCAGTAATCCATTTCCTGATATTTCGTGTCTGTTTCCTGGCAACAAGACGCCATCTTCGTGGTACCATGTGACCGTTGGTTGAGGAAAACCTACGGCCTGGCATCGGATAAAAACAGAATCCCCTTCTAGGCATTTAATTGTGTCGTCTGAGACTGCACCGAAAGAGGGAGCCGCTGGAACTGGAAGTAATGGGCATGTCAAATTTTCAATTATCTATACCGACAGCGTCTAGAGTTAAGGACGTTTATACCGACAGCGTCTAGAACTGAGGAAGTTTATACCGACAGCGTCTAGAACTGAGGAAGTTTATACCGACAGTTTCTAGAACTGAGGAAGTTTATACCGACAGTTTCTAGAACTGAGGAAGTTTATACCGACAGTTTCTAGAACTGAGGAAGTTTATACCGACAGCGTCTAAAACTGAGGAAGTTTATACCGACAGCGTCTAAAACTGAGGAAGTTTATACCGACAGCGTCTAAAACTGAGGAAGTTTATACCGACAGCGTCTAAAACTGAGGAAGTTTATACCGACAGCGTCTAAAACTGAGGAAGTTTATACCGACAGCGTCTAAAACTGAGGAAGTTTATACCGACAGCGTCTAGAGCTGAGGAAGTTTATACCGACAGTTTCTAGAACTGAGGAAGTTTATACCGACAGCGTCTAAAACTGAGGAAGTTTATACCGACAGCGTCTAAAACTGAGGAAGTTTATACCGACAGCGTCTAGAGCTGAGGAAGTTTATACCGACAGTTTCTAGAACTGAGGAAGTTTATACCGACAGTTTCTAGAACTGAGGAAGTTTATACCGACAGCGTCTAGAACTGAGGAAGTTTATACCGACGGCATCTAAAACTGAGGAAGTTTATACCGAAAGTGTCTAGAGCTGAGGAAGTTTATACCGACAGTTTCTAGAACTGAGGAAGTTTATACCGACAGCGTCTAGATGTGAGGAAGTTTATACCGACAGCGTCTAGAACTGAGGAAGTTTATACCGACAGCGTCTAGAACTGAGGAAGTTTATACCGACAGCGTCTAAAACTGAGGAAGTTTATACCGACAGCGTCTAAAACTGAGGAAGTTTATACCGACAGCGTCTAAAACTGAGGAAGTTTATACCGACAGCGTCTAGAACTGAGGAAGTTTATACCGACAGCGTCTAGAACTGATAAAGTTTATACCGACAGCGTCTAGAACTGATAAAGTTTATACCGACAGCGTCTAGAACTGATAAAGTTTATACCGACAGCGTCTAGAACTGATAAAGTTTATACCGACAGTTTCTAGAACTGATAAAGTTTATACCGACAACGTCTAGAACTGAGGAAGTTTATACCGACAGCGTCTAGAACTGATAAAGTTTATACCGACAGCGTCTAGAACTGATAAAGTTTATACCGACGACATATAGAACTGAGATTGTAGGGTAAACAGACGCACGAACAAATCTTAGGTTTGCTTTAAGGAGGTCGGCGTGGTCGTGTCGGTAAAGCTTGTATTTGCTGAACCGAAAAGTCCCGAGTTCGAAACCTCGAGCAGATGAAGCTTGTTAGCTTGGGTCAGCCACTCTTCTAGGAGAGACAACTCAAAAATCAAACAACTGCTTGCTTGTAGTTTGTTCTTGGTTGGACAAAGGCTATGAAAGCAAATTCAAAAAAGAAAAGCTGGCTGAAATCGGAGTCAGCAGACTGTAAGACGCATAACAAGTTGACACGTACTTATTGTGTTGAAGGGAATCTCTTCCAACACAAAAATCAAAAACTAAGGAGAAGAAGAAATTTGCATTAAATTTGCTTAAAGAATATGTAATAAGCTATTAGAGAAATTACAAAACAAAAATATTTTCAAATTTAGGGTTCGGCTTGGTCGAGTCGTTAAAGCTCATGGTTGCTAAACCGAAAAGTCTCGAGTTCGAACCCTCGGGCAGATGAGGCTCGTTAGCTGGGGACAGCCACTCTTCTAGGAGAGACAACCCCAAAATCAAACAACTGCTGCTTTGTAGTTTGTTCTTGGTTGGACAAAGGCTATGAAAGCAAATCTAAAAAGAAAAGCAGGCTGAAATCGGAGTCAATGGCCTCAATGGCGCATAACCAGTTGACACGTAACGCTTAATTGTGTTGGAGGCGTGGTCGAGTCGGCAAAGCTCATGGTTGATAAATTCGAAAAAAAAAGTCTCGAGTTCAAACCCTCTGGCAGATAAGGCTCGATCCCTCCCAACACTAAAAAATTAAGAACGAAGAAGAAGAAGTATACAATGTAAACATCAAGTAAAAAAATTAAATAATTATAAATCAACAAATACTTCAGACTCCGTGGTCGGACCGTAGCACATGGCTAGTAACCCGAACGTCACAAGTTCGGATACTGAAATCGATTCCGAAAGATGTCCTTGTGTAGAATTATTATTGATGTGATGGGTACCTGACTCATGTTAGGGAAAGTAATGGCGGCTGGGCATAGATCAGGCTACATTATCCCGAGGTCAATGTAACATCTAACCTCTACTTTATCTGCCCATGGCCGCTAGCTCCGAAATAAGTACATACAGTTAATTAACGCTGCTGTCATCATTTTAAAAATAAATAAAAACTCAAGATTATAAATATTGTATTGTGAGAGGGCTGGTAAGTAGGTCCCCAACCACTTCTACGGCTCAATAAAACCTACATGAGCCATAGGACTGTTTAGTGACCTACTAACCAAGAATAAGACTCTATGTGATAATAAGTGACATCAGTCCCAACACTCACACACAACCAAGAATAGTTTCCAGATCTAAGTCTAGACTCTAGATTCTAGTGCAAAGCTACGTATAAGCTCCATATGTTATAGTTTTTGAACCCCACTTCTAGCAACAAGTATCATTTCTTTCTTGAAACCCCCTGAGATATATTTTCATCATTGTCTAATGCATAGGTTTTGAATTTATCGAATTTATTTATCTTAAACTACACTTTAAAATAAATATTTTTACCTTTAGACATCGCCATGATAAAGTCTTTGTCTTAGAAATCAGGAAGTGACGTAGTTTGACTTGAGTGACATGGGAACGAGATTAATGAAATGTGGAAGAATATGGTAATTTTGTGCACAAGTGCCCGATAATTCCCGAATAAATGACTGTGTGTGATAATGGGGTAAGGGTTGATTGTAGAATATGCGGTTTTTCCTATGCTTTCAATGGACACCAGCGAGTTGACGAGATTCCTTCCGTAATGTTGTTGACATGGAATAAAAATGTGCTTTTTTAGATTTAGGACCATAAAACTAATAAAAGATAAAATTTTATTAAAAACTTAAGCCTAAAATTAATTCAGAAATGTAATATTTTTAGAATCAATGCTATACAAGTTGCAAATCCAGAGAACTTGAAAATAATTTGTTGAGTTTAAGGCTACATTTCTATTTATTTTCATCAAGCCTAAGTTATAACCCGATGTTTCACTTTCGTAAGACAAACATTGATTGGCTGTAAAGGAACTCCGTGATTGATTTCTGACAGCCCCACTTTATAGTTATTTTGTTTACAAAACTTTGCAGATCAAGTATTTAAATAACTATGCAAATTTAAACAGAATGACCTATTTTTTTCTATTTTTAGCTTACAATGTGTACAATAAAATTTATGGCGGCCATTGTTTATGTCGCCATTACACGTGAAAACCAAATTGTTTTTGCTTTTTTTTTTAATTTTTATTTAGTTACCGAAAATATTAAAAACATCAAATACATCCAATCTTTAGTAAAGTCCGAAAAAAACCAGACAGACAGGATTTTATAACCATATTAATTGTAACTACGCCGTGCAAGATTTTTAAATGAATTAATACACCTCTCAAAAACCTTTGAGACTTTTCTCGCTGGTGTCCATTTCAAAATTTCTGTTCTCTAGAAATTGGATTCAAAGTATTTCGTAATTATAATTAATCTCAAATATAATCATGAGTAGAATAAATTTACACTATAGAGACTCTTCGTAATTTATAGCTCCTTCGTCAAAATAGCATATCAAATTTTCTTTGCAACAGTATATATTGTATAAGCAGCTAGAGCCGAGAGAAGACAGGTACCGTACGCTGGACTCACTCATTATGTGTTGAGTGATGGATGTACTCACTACTCATTATGTGTCGAGTGATGAATTTTCTCACTCATTATGTGTTGTGTGATGGATGTACTCACTACTCATTATGTGTTGAGTGATGAATTTTTCACTCATTGTGTGTTGTGTGATGGATGTACTCACTACTCATTATGTGTTGAGTGATGAATTTTCTCACTCATTATGTGTTGAGTGATGAATGTACTCACTACTTATGCGTTGAGTGATGAATTTTCTCACTCATTGTGTGTTGTGTGATGGATGTACTCACTACTCATTATGTGTTGAGTGATGAATTTTCTCACTCATTATGTGTTGAGTGATGAATGTACTCACTACTTATGCGTTGAGTGATGAATTTTCTCACTCATTATGTGTTGAGTGATGGATGTACTCACTACTCATGTGTTGAGTGATGGATGTACTCACTACTCATGTGTTGAGTGACTGATATTCTCACTCACTCCGAAAACTACTTATGACCGATTGAAAAAAAAAACTGAACTGTGTATCTAAAAGTAAAAACTAGCATTCGCCCTCACTAGCTAAAGGCCTATACTCCAATGGCGAGTGGCACGATGTACCAGAGGAGAAGCCAAGCCTCAGCCCACAGCCTCTAGGACCGAACTCTCCCTGTGGTCTAGCCAGGTACCAGGTTTGTAAGACACGGGCTCTTGCACCGGGTACGGGGGGGGGGGGGAGTAAACCCTGAAGAGAAACGACAACGATAGCGACCAACATGAGCGAGTAAGACGATTTCTTAAGGAGCTGTCTTAGCCTACGTTCCCAAAGCGAGTTAGAGTTGTCTGCGTCGAGGCCTACCTGTGATTTCTCTCCTGAGCCGGTGATGTCTCTCTCACGTGAGCTAAAGGGTTACACCTCTCACTTGGGAATAAGTTGTTGAAAGTGGCTACAGGAAATTACCCCCCCCCCCCCTTCCCCCCGGAGAAATTACTCCCTCTGTCAATTACCCCCCCCCCCCCCCACGTGTATTACCCCCCCCCCCCCCCCAAGCCCTCTCAAGCTAGAATCCTAACTCTAACCAGAATTCTACTATACCTATACACTACTTAAATCCTAACCTTAAGAAAAAGACCAACACCTAAGCATCCACCTTAGCCTAAAACTTCACACAAAACCAAAACCAACGCTAGACATTGGTTTAAGCCTAGCCCTAACCCTAACTTAACCCTAACCCTGACCCAACCCTAAACCTAGGCCTAACCCTAACCCTGTCCGGGCCGGTACTTGACAGGGGGTAATTACTCCGGGGGGTAATGTCGGGGAAAATGTCCGGAGGGTGAATGACAGGCGGGAAATGCCCTGTGCCCGTTGAAAGTACTCTCAATAGTACATTTTCCCATCTAGTTAATTCAATACATAATACATACTTCATACAATTAATGGTGTTTTTATTATTACAATGTATTCGAAATAATGTATGTAAACTAGAATAATTACTTGGGTATGTATTGACATTCTCACACGAGTATGTATTTTAAAACACTCCTACAAAAGTTGTTAGTGAAAAATGAAATATTAAAACCAACACATTCTAGATGTAAAGAGTTTTTTTATTGTCTGATATTGCAATCCATTAGAAAATGCTGACATAATTATTCTTGTGAGATGACACATGGGCGAAAAATCAAGATTATACAATTAGAAAATAAAGCATAAGAACCATTTTATTACCCTTAAACTGTATTTATACTTATTCTTTTGTGATGCTAAGTAAAATATTTGTATTTAATTTTAGAAAAAAAATAAAATTAATTTTCTTATTAATGTTGAAACGTCGGGCTTATTTCGATTCGAACATTACACTTTTTTGTGTGTATGAAATGATAATTAATTCTAAAAATTAAATAGGGCTAGATATCTAAATTTAGACCAGCTTAAGAAACAATTGATAAGGCAAGTATTAGGATTAGGATTAACCCACAGGGGCAGGAGACAGGTTAACTAAACCAGGCAAGTCGTAGACGGAATCGTCCGAATCCTGGAGGTACTGGATCATCTGGAGACCTACGGCTCGCTCCGCCAGTCCGAACCCTTCTAGTGACGTCAGGGTTTCTTCCACGTCCGTGACGTCATCGTTGATGAAGACGTCACCGCATGCGGCGATCTCCTCCTTGTACTGTTGGACCGACTTGATGGACATGTACTGGAACATGATGGCGTCGATGCTGCGGCCCCCGTCGCCGTCGCTGATGGAGTGGATGGTGTCGTCGCCGGCGGTTAGGTCATCGTCACTTGCTGGATGTAGAGAGAATCAAATAAAAAAAAATTATGAAAATATATTGAACACACATTATTTTGTCTATAACAATTGATTTGAAATGGAAGCAGTTTCCGAAATAATCGAAAAAAAAAGATGGCGATGGATGAGACACGTCCACATCAATGAATCCAGAAGACATCGCAGGAATGGCGCTAAACTGGACGCATCAAGGAAAAAGAAAGCCAAGGGAGACCAAGGGAGACATGGAGGCGCACGGCGTGGAAGTAGCTGGCAGAGGTAGGACTGTAATGGGGGACGCCAGGAAGCAGCTGGCAGAGGCAGGATTGTAATGGGGAACTGTCAGAAAAATTGTCGGTGCCCTTACAAAAGTGGAGGGAGCTTTCTATGGCGGCCCCATGTGTCTTGGGTACAAAAAGAAATAATGATGAATTGATTTTACATGTATATTGCTTCATTTTTCCCTGAGAAACTATGGACGCAATTTATATCCTCAGTGCCGGTACAACAGCATTAACTAAAGAGATCTAGGTTCCCATCTAACGTGATTCTTCATTCAACCTTTCCCGGTATGGTACAAGGAAATGCTAATCGTTACGTTTGGTGACAGCTTCGTTGGCAGAGGCTGCTTAGCGGTAACCATGGTTAGTAATTGTATCGCCCAAGAGTCACACCGAAGCTCTGATTGTTGACTAACTCACGTTAGGTAAAGCAATGGCGGCTGAACATAGTGCTGACTACACCATTTTTTCATATGCCGAGGTATCTAAATAAAATGAACTCTACTTCATCTGCCTCATATGTCTTGAGCATGAACATAAAAAGATTACCCACACCGACCAAACTTATTTTTTAGCGACATCGTACATTTAAGTAAGATGCGGTGTGTGATAGTAGTGTTGTATTGACTTAACCATTTATTGACGGACAGGTAAGCAGCACACACCCGCCAGTTAGTTATTCGACATCCGAACATTCGACATCCGAACATTCGACATCCGAACATTCGACATCCAAACATTCGACATCCGAACATTCGACATCCGAACATTCGACATCCGAACATTCGACATCCGAACATTCGACATCCGAACATTCGACATCTGAACATTCGACATCCGAACATTCGACATCCGAACATTCGACATCCGAACATACAAACATTCGACATCCGAACATTCGATATCCGAACATCCCACCTTTACTATCCGGCTTCATCCGGGACCCGGATACGGTCCTGTCCGCTGCGATACCTTCGCTGGTGGGCTCCTGACTGTGGTGCTGAGCCGGGGGCTCAGCGTCCCGCCCATATTCCGCGGGGTAGAACTTGAGGTTCTCCATCAGGAAGACGCTCCCCTGGGTGGGCTCGGCCAGTATGCTCTTGGCTTTAGTGCTGCATGGTCGGTCAATGAAGGAGACTTTCAGCTGGTTATGGAAGAAACAAAAGTAGTAAACGAAAAGAAAAATATAAACTGCTCTGTATACTAGTTGTTTTCAACTTGATTCCTAGTCTGTCATTCTGTTTTAAGCCCATGGTGGAATCTAGCGGTTAAGACTAAGTCCGTTTCTAAAGAACCGGTTAATTTCTACGTTGACATGTTTGTCAAGAGATTTAAACTAACTTTGAAATAACTCTTCATATGCCGAGGTCACAGAAACAAGTGAACTCTACTTCACTTGCCCCATAGACCGTCAGGTTTGAAAGGGAAACTTTACTTTTGAAATAATTATACGTTTACTTAATTTCTGCAAAACTAATGGATGACAATATGAAGTACTAATTATGTCAAGCTTGTGGACATATGATCGGTTCATTCATTAATTTTAAATTATTGTCATTAAACTTCGTATGCCAATTTGAGAGATGTATGTCGTAGCGTAGCCTACGTGTCTTCATTATACCATAACATGTTCAGTACAATAATTGCATTTGTTTGAGAGTTTGGAATGTGTTGCTTTTTTTCGAACTCGAAACCTTCGGGCTAGCGACTAAACATTATATAATGGCCCGAGTCAAATTATTGTGATATTGTTATTATCTAGTGTTATCATCTCATCATTTACTTTCATCTATCGACCTTGTTGGTACCTAGGACGAGAGGGAAACAGCGACTGACCTCCAGAATCTGGTTGAACTCTTCAATCAACGGTGCCAGAGTCAGGTACTGGTTCCTGTAACCATTAGGCTCACCTCGGTGACCCAGCAGAACCACGCACTTAGCACCCATCTTTAGTGCCAGTCTAGGCAAGATACAAGGCACTTAGAGTGAATGCAAATAGGAGACAAGGCATTAAGTCATGGCGTATGTAGACAGAAGGATAGAATGTCTAAAAGTATTAACAAAATGTAGGCCTACTTAAATTTTGAATAGGGGAAAAATGGTATGTGCCTTGTTTTAAATGATGACAATGATGTAGGAATTTTTTTTAAGTTTTGAAAACTGCACATTAGATTTGTTCTGCTTTGTGTTTTTGTTGTCAGTGTTATATTACATGATGGTTGTCAGTGCTATATTACATGATGGTTGTCAGTGCTATATTACAGAAAGGTTGTCAGTGCTATATTACAGAAAGGTTGTCAGTGCTATATTACAGAAAGGTTGTCAGTGCTATATTACAGAAAGGTTGTCAGTGCTATATTACAGAAAGGTTGTCAGTGCTATATTACCTGAGGGTTGTCAGTGCTATATTATGTGATGGTTGTCAGTGATATATTACAGAAAGGTTGTAATTGCTATATTACCTGAGGGTTGTCAGTGCTATATTACAGAAAGGTTGTCAGTGCTATATTACCTGAGGGTTGTCAGTGCTATATTACAGAAAGGTTGTCAGTGCTATATTACAGAAAGGTTGTCAGTGCTATATTACCTGAGGGTTGTCAGTGCTATATTACAGAAAGGTTGTCAGTGCTATATTACCTGAGGGTTGTCAGTGCTATATTACAGAAAGGTTGTCAGTGCTATATTATGTGATGGTTGTCAGTGATATATTACCTGAGGGTTGTCAGTGCTATATTACAGAAAGGTTGTCAGTGCTATATTACCTGAGGGTTGTCAGTGCTATATTACAGAAAGGTTGTCAGTGCTATATTATGTGATGGTTGTCAGTGATATATTACAGAAAGGTTGTAATTGCTATATTACCTGAGGGTTGTCAGTGCTATATTATGTGATGGTTGTCAGTGCTATATTACCTGAGGGTTGTCAGTGCTATATTACCTGAGGGTTGTCAGTGCTATATTACAGAAAGGTTGTCAGTGCTATATTACCTGAGGGTTGTCAGTGCTATATTACAGAAAGGTTGTCAGTGCTATATTATGTGATGGTTGTCAGTGATATATTACAGAAAGGTTGTAATTGCTATATTACCTGAGGGTTGTCAGTGCTATATTACAGAAAGGTTGTAATTGCTATATTACCTGAGGGTTGTCAGTGCTATATTATGTGATGGTTGTCAGTGCTATATTACCTGAGGGTTGTCAGTGCTATATTACAGAAAGGTTGTCAGTGCTATATTACCTGAGGGTTGTCAGTGCTATATTACAGAAAGGTTGTCAGTGCTATATTATGTGATGGTTGTCAGTGATATATTACAGAAAGGTTGTAATTGCTATATTACCTGAGGGTTGTCAGTGCTATATTACAGAAAGGTTGTAATTGCTATATTACCTGAGGGTTGTCAGTGCTATATTATGTGATGGTTGTCAGTGCTATATTACCTGAGGGTTGTCAGTGCTATATTACAGAAAGGTTGTCAGTGCTATATTACCTGAGGGTTGTCAGTGCTATATTACAGAAAGGTTGTCAGTGCTATATTACCTGAGGGTTGTCAGTGCTATATTACAGAAAGGTTGTCAGTGCTATATTATGTGATGGTTGTCAGTGATATATTACAGAAAGGTTGTAATTGCTATATTACCTGAGGGTTGTCAGTGCTATATTATGTGATGGTTGTCAGTGCTATATTACCTGAGGGTTGTCAGTGCTATATTACAGAAAGGTTGTCAGTGCTATATTACCTGAGGGTTGTCAGTGCTATATTACAGAAAGGTTGTCAGTGCTATATTACCTGAGGGTTGTCAGTGCTATATTACAGAAAGGTTGTCAGTGCTATATTATGTGATGGTTGTCAGTGATATATTACAGAAAGGTTGTAATTGCTATATTACCTGAGGGTTGTCAGTGCTATATTATGTGATGGTTGTCAGTGCTATATTATGTGATGGTTGTCAGTGCTATATTACCTGAGGGTTGTCAGTGCTATATTATGTGATGGTTGTCAGTGCTATATTACCTGAGGGTTGTAAGTGCTATATCACATAAAGGTTGTCAGTGCAATATTACAGAAAGGTTGACAGAACTATATTACCTGATGGTTGGCAGTCCTATATTACCTGATGGTTGTCAGTGCTATATTACCTGATGGTTGGCACAGCGTCTTCCAATTTATCCGAGTCTAACACTACGCCATCTACGGTTGGGACAAAGAGATCCAAACGTATTAATACTCGCTTGCCTCTTAGCTCTATCTGGTCTATGCGAAGCCTCTTCAGTTTCTTTTCCTATTGAATAACAAATAGTAAATAACCAGATGTAGGTAATTAGATTTAGTCAAACTTGTGAGTCCCGATCCAATGTTTTGGAAAGTAAAAATAGTTTTTCACCAAGACACAAAAATTGTTAATTCATAGTAAAAACGTTTTTAAATATTTAACAATATCACTTGAACTAAAAAAACACGTTCTTTGAATTAACAGAAGAGTAAAACTACCACATAAAAGTATTTCATTTCAATTTTAAAAAATGAATTCATAAATAACATATGTTATCTTAAACATTCGGAATTAAAGTATTTATGGCGCGTATTAAGTTGACACGTAATACTTAATTGTTTTGGAGGCAATATCTTCCAACACTAGAATTAAGAACGAAGAAGAAGGAAGTATTTATATAAATATAGCGTTTCCTTGACGGAACTTAAATTTTAAAAAAAAAATAAAAAATTATGTGCGTTAATTAAGTTTAATTCAGACCAAAACATAATTAAATTAAACTAAAAAAAAATAAAGAAAGTAAGCTACGGATAAATTCTGAAGCCAAAACATGACATATGAAATGGCAGTATACAAGCGAAGGAGGATTCTTACTGTAGCGGGTGTCAGGACCGAGAGCCCGGGGAGGGGCTTGTTGAGGAGGATGTGCAGGAAGGTGGCGAGGCTGGTGCTGTAGGAAGAGAAGACGTCGACGGCGTTCATCTGACCGATACACACGCCCGTCTCCATACCCAGGGCCACGGTGGGTACCCCTGAGTTAGTGGCAGCCTGAATGGCGGAGAATAGTGCTGGGGGGGGGGGGGGAGGCGGTAGTTAGAGCCAACACAGGTATGTTGGGTGGGGGTGTAGAATGTGTGAGAACAGTGCTGGGGGGAGGGGTAAGTAGAGCCAACACAGGTATGTTGGGTGGGGGTGTAGAATGTGTGAGAACAATGCTGGGGGGAGGGGGTAGTTAGAGCCAACACAGGTATGTAGGGTGGGGGTGTAGAATGTGTGAGAACAGTGCTGGGGGGAGGGGTAAGTAGAGCCAACACAGGTATGTTGGGTGGGGGTGTAGAATGTGTGAGAACAGTGCTGGGGGGTGGGAGAGGTGGTAGTTAGAGCCAACACAGTTATGTTGGGTGGGGGGTGTAGAATGTATAGTTATGAGAGGGGATGAAGCGTGATTTAGAGCCAACAAAGTGTGTGTGTGGCGTAAGGGGGGGGGGGGGTGTGTGAAGACAGTACTGAAGAATTGGGGGGGGGGGTAGAGTTAGACCCATCAAAAGGTGAGGGGTGTAGGATGTGTGAGTAGTAATGCAAATAGGGGCGGGAAGGGTGGGGGTGTAGGATATGTGAGAATAGTATTGGAAGTATGTGTGGAGGGGTGGGGGGGGTGCGAGGCTATGAGAAGATGCAACATTAGGTATGTTGGGAGGGAAAGCGGGATGTACTTGTTAGAAACAAATCTAGGGTGTACTTGTATCATGTGTATCGTCATGTATGGGGATTTGAAGTGAATCCACACATTAGAACTATTTTGGCAAGGAAAATAACACGACCTGCCGAGGGCGTTAATTCGATGAAGTTAATATGACAAATTAAGGGCATAAAGGCATTAATTAAATAATGTTCTTAATAATAAACATGGGCATAACTAAAATATTAAAATATTTATAACGCTTTTGAACAGACATCTATTTGACAGTCCTTATCACAATGAAATACAAACAGTCCGACTTAAAAATAAACCGATTGGTTCCCTACCTTTCGTCCCCGCCATAAAAGGTTCATGCTCGTAGTACCCCGCATTTCCCACGTAGATGATCGTCTTGGCGTGCGAGATGACTTGCGCGAAGTTCATGATGCTGGAGGGTCCTATATCAAACACCTGGTGGGTTTTGGGGATGCCCTGGGATACGATGACCACTTCCGTTTCCGGCAAGAGGTCCGCTGGCTCCTGTGGCTCTTCCTGGCCGGGGATTATGGGTGCCGGCTCTTTGGTGAGCTGCTCGGCTATGACGAAGTCGACCGGAAGATGGAGGGTGATGCCGTTCGCTCTCGCTTTTTTAACTATTCTGATGCGCGGGAAAAGATATGAAAAATTAAATGATGAAATATTAATATTAATAAAATGGAGTATACAATTTTAGATGGTTTAGATGTAAACACAAAAGAAAGAAAAAAGTTCCCTTTTGAACTTGATGGTCTATGAGGCAGGTGAAGTAGAGTTCATATTTTTAAGAGACATCGGCTAATATGGTCAGCACTATGTTCAGCCGCCTTGACTTTCACTAACGTGAGTCAGGTACCCATCAGACGTTTTACTTGGAACCGGGATTCGAACTTTCGGGTCAGAATTCTACCCCTCTATCGCTAGGCCACGCCTATTGTGTTAGTATTTAAGTAAGGTAAAAAAAAAGGGGGGGGGGGTGCACTCTGTGATGTCACCTGACGTAGTGAAAAAGGGGTTGCGAAAGGGTGTTGGATGGGGGTGGACGCCCCAGGCTACAAAACAGGATGTCACCTGACTTACTGACGTCACTACTCATCTATCAGCAAACAGTCACGAAAGATGATTATGAAACACAAAAAAACTAAATACAGTTAGCGAGTTTGGGACATATTTCAATGTATTGGCATTGACTGGACTTTTGCCTAGTTTGATAGACTAGCGAGTTCACACTTACTTAGGGACATATTTCAGTGTATTGACATTCACTGGAGTTTTGCCTAGCTTGATAGACTCGTCCACTTTATAAAACGCCAGGGCTAAATCTCCACACAAAATAACCTCGTTGACCACATCGAGACTGTCGTAGATCCTGAGCATGTAATCCACAGTGGGTTCCCCTCCATAGATGGCCAACAGAGGGAGCTCCATGTTGTTCTTTAGTTCCATGTACCTGGTCACTTCCTTCTTTAAAGTTGGGCCTGGATAGATCATGGTGGTTTGGGTAAGATTATTGGAGTTACCGTTTATTGCCTAATTATATATTGATAGGTTATTTTTAATTGGTAGTTAAATATTGTTGGCTTATTTTAGTTGCTAATTAAATGCTTTTTTGTTCTTACGTGATTAGGCTGTTATTGTTTGTTTTTTTAAATTTAGGATTAAGTTCATGCTAATTACAATCAGTGGCGTAGGCAGGGAGGTTAGGGGGGTTATAACCCCCCATAGACCCCCTCGGTATATATATAAAGTATGAGGGGGTGTAAATCGAAAGTTTGAGGGGGGGTGCAAATGGAAAGATTGAGGGGGGGGGGGGGGGGTGCAAATCGAAAGTTTGTCCCCCGGTAAAAATTTGAACCCCCCCCCCCCATGAGACGATCCTGGGTACGCTATACTGGTTGCAATAAAGTAATTGTAGTTGCAGTTTTGTTTCTAATAATAAAATTAACTATTGACAGTTCATAAGATATGTTTTTTTCCTTACATATACTGTTGGCTATTTACTGTAATGGTAGTTTAGTTGCCAGTTAAATATTGGTCGATCTAGTTCAAATAGGACAAATGAGTTTTCTTTATTAGTTAAAGTAAGGCAATGGTAGCAGCTCAGTTGCTAATTAAATATACGTAGTGTATGTGAGATCGCGTGGTTTCTTTTAAGATCGTGTTGGTTGCAAAATGATTGCTATAATGGCTCTACAAGAGCTGACACACCCTCCATCATCACCGCCCCCATCCCTCTACAAAAACCCACATTGTTTTAACGAAAATTAACAGTTATCTTTTTCGTCAAAAAAAAAAATTAACCCTTCTTGTCTGCACCATTCGTCACAAAATTCTGCCTTACTTACATTCTCTCAGTTTAGACATCTTAATAGAAGACCCAGATACTCTTAAAATAGTACGCGCGATGCTGTCAACTTTAGATCGGTCTACTATTAGCAGATCGAATATTAGCGTCGATTCTGTCCGTGTAAAAAGTCGAGGGCTAATTAAAACGATACACAACACGTTAACCCATTACCTGCCAGTTTTTGTTTATGTTTCAGCCCTACGACTGAGGTGTTAGATTCGTACAACGTGCCAAACGACTCATTGATGAATACGTCACCCAGTGATGAAAGCTTATTGCTAGGAGAAAAATTTCAAATAAAACAGTTATTTATGATATAATAATAAAATAAATTGTTAATGTGTAGAGCTTTTTTCGGCTTTTTAATATCCAACTTTTTTAGATTATCAACTATAACTTTTTAAAAAATCCTAGTTTTTACTAAATTTTCTTCATTAAAAGCAAAGTTTTTTAAGATTTCTAATTCATGGCTAATACATGGTTATATTTAAACTTCAAAAGATACAACTAGTTTAAACTATTTCAGTAAACAATCGAGTAGATTTTAAACTGTTTTTTCATACGGCTTCGGAAAACTATAATTATAAATGATTTTTAGCTAGCAAGTATTGGAAAGCGCGCTTTAATTTTCTGCACAATGTACACTTTAAAACAGACTATCTAGCAATGATCTTGACAACACTGACATGAACTATTCTTTTGAATTCTCAAAGGGGCTTTTAACTGCAGCTACACCTCTCCGCAGGTTTCTGTTTTGGGCAAATCTCAAAACAACACAACTATCGACAAATGATGACTTTTTACATTTAAATTTAGTTAAACAGACTTCTTTAAATTCAAACAAAACAGACTTAACTTGTTCGATCTAAATTGAAATAAAGTAAAGAATCCTCTTTAGACCCAGCGATTCATTAGGCAAATGAAGTAGAGTTCATATTTTTCTTGAACTCGGTAAATGAAGGGAAGGTGTGGTCTGCACTTTGCCCAACCACCTTTACTTTCCGTTACATGAGTTAGGTACCCATTAGAGCTGGGTGGACTCATTGACGATCTACTAACTTGAACCGGGATTCGAACTCAAGACTTTCGGGTTAGCGACCTAGCGCTTCTAAATTGTTATGTTTGACGAAATTTCTTCCAACACAATTAACAATTACATGTCAGCCTGTTATGCGCCATATAGGCCTGTTAACTCCGTGACGTCACTCAATCACCAGTGTTTCTTCCAGACTTTTTCTCCGGCGGGGGGGGGGGGTAGTGGCAATTGAAATTTTCAGGGGGGTGGGTGGACACAACACTGTTAAAAGTATATATTTTCTCTATAAATTCCATTTCGTTCGATGGGGGTGGTAGGCTTTCTTGGAGGGGGGGGGGGAGGGGTTTGTTGACTGAGCCCCCCCACCCCACCCCGAACATGCTTGGAAGAAACTCTGTCAATAACCCACATACTTCATCCCTGATTTGTCCCTGATTTCTCAAGTCATTGAATGACGTCATACGATGACGTGGCGACTAACCGGAAGTCGTTGAGCGCCTCGTGTGAGATGTTGATCGTGAGCTTCGAGCCAGGAGGGCCGTCTCTAATCCCTTCCTCTTCCGGGTGGAACCGGATGTTCTCCAGCAGGACGACCCGCCCTGGTTCCTGGCTTCTGATGATGACGTCAGTGTTGTCGGCAACACCATCGGACACAAACGTCACAGGCTGTGGGGAGGGGGTGGGGAGAGGTGGGTTGGGGGAAGGAGGTAAACAAAAGTATGTATTCTTTAGGCCTAATATGGAAGATTCGATATGTATTTATCAACACAAAATTAAATTAGAAGAGAAAACGTATGTATTAAAAACTGAAAAATCACTATTACCATAACGTGTGCTTAAAACAATGAATAGGGAATCTTGTATGGTAGGGGAGGAAATTAATGCATAGATAAGCACAATGTAGGGAGGAAATTAATGCATAGATAAGCACAATATAGGGGAGGAAATTAATGCATAGATAAGCACAATGTAGGGGAGGAAATTAATGCATAGATAAGCACAATGTAGGGAGGAAATTAATGCATAGATAAGCACAATGTAGGGGAGGAAATTAATGCATAGATAAACACAATGTAGGGGAGGAAATTAATGCATAGATAAGCACAATGTAGGGGAGGAAATTAATGCATAGATAAACACAATGTAGGGGAGGAAATTAATGCATAGATAAGCACAATGTAGGGGAGGAAACTCACGTATAAATAAACCTAATAATGTGAAGGGAAGTCAGATATGTTGAAAAAACAGCTCAGGCTCTCGTACATAGAAAACAAACAGTAAAGGAGACAGTTGTACAAGGTGGTGTAATGCAGCTCAAAAGTATCATATTCCAACAAATCGTCCTTAGAAAACATTTATTTTAAGCAATAGATTTTAACAATCTAAGATTTCCTCCAGCAAAAAAATAACTCACCTGGTCCAAGACTTAATGCCAACAACAGGAAGACTCACCTGGTCCAAGACTTCTTCTAGAGCCGTTTTGACAGGTGCGAGACTAAAGTAGCTTTCCCTTCTCCCACTTGGGTTACCCACGTGACCAATCAGAGTGATAACCCTGGCACCCTTACGCTGAAGGAACTTGATCAGTGGTATCAGTTGCTGGAACAAAAACAGTGAGTTATGGAGCACTCAAATATTACTAGGTTTGTATAAAAGGAATCACCAGACAGGCACTAGATTGGGATCTCCAAGGAAAGAGGAAAGTCGGTACGCTAAAACAAACTTGGGAAAGTTCAGCTGTAGGAGAAACAGAAGCAGCCGGAATGTCGTGGACCTAACTTGGAGGAATCGCCCAGAACCGAGTACTATGGAGAGGTGTGGTTGAGTTATGATCAACAAGGCGCAGAGTTTCTTCCAGGCATCTCTTCGGGGGGGCTAAGCCCCCCCCCCCCCCCCCCCGAAATTGTTTTACCGCCCCCCCCCCCCCCGAACGAAATGAAATTTATATAATTTATATAGAAAATATATACTTTTAACAGTGTCCGCCCCCCCCCCCCCCCCCCCCCGAAAATTTCAAGTGCCCCCCCCCCCCCCCGGAGAAAAAAGTCTGGAAGAAACACTGACAAGGCGTCCACAAGAATAAGGATGATGTTGTATAAGGAAGAGAACTAATAAAGCTATAATAAAAGTGAAATGATCATAGATGTATAAAGGCAATAAGCGATAACTAGCTGTTGTTTTTTTTTGTTATTTGTTTTTTTTTTTTTTTAAATATGGGAATACATTTCTTAACTTGATTTAGGGTAGAAATATAATTTCGTTTCTAAGTGCATTAAAAATAAACGAGAATAGTCTCAGAAGAATGTATAATGTTAAATACATGTATACGGTTTTAAAGAATAATATTATAACGGTATTTTGTAGCAGTAATTTTTTACAAAAAATAAACAATAAAAATATATAACCTCAATACTAATAATATCTAGTCAAGTTATCCTAGAAAAGTGTGTGAATTTGAGAATCGTTCGTGAATAAACATTCTCCTTGGGAACTGCATTGACTTATGGTAGATCCAGAGGCGTAGCGACCCTTTCCGGCGCCCGGAGACAAACTTTCGATTTGCACCCCCCTCAAACTTTCGATTTACACCCCAACTTCAAACTTTCAATTTGTTTTTCCAACCCTCTGGGTATATCGTTGGACTGCAAACCCGAAAACCTCCAGTTCGTATCCCGATTTAAAAACGCATTTGTAAATTTGTAAATAAACTCACCCATTCAAACTGTATGCAATAGCAACAAGAATAAAGCAAGCTGCAATACTGTATTACACTGGTATCTTTAAACTTTTTAAAAACCTTACACTAACAAATCCACAACCTTGTCCCTGTAACATAACTCAGCTAGTGGACAAAGACATTGTTACCTTCAGAGGAAACGGATCCTTCAAACGGTCCAGGGGAAGGTTCAAATCGGCCTTGACCAACACGCGCTGGTCGGTGAACTCACTGTTGATGTCTGCAGTCATAAAGTTGGGCAATTTCTTGGACGGCTGGAACACAGGCAATACTACATTACATTGCTAGTCAAGCCAATGGTTGGGCTCTTAGAACACCAGATACCCGTGTTATAGAATACTAGGCGACCCAGTTTCCGTATAGGAAAGAGTCTGTCAGTTGAATTGCGCGACACAAACAAATATCCTAGTATATACAATGTAAATACTACTTTACATTGTAAGTCAAGCTAATGGGTTGGGCTCATGAGGCACCACGTCAGATACTATATATATATATATATATATATATATATATATATATATGTATATATATATATATATATATTTTTATATATATATATATATATATATATATATATATATATATATATATATATATATATATATATATATATATATATATATATGTATATATATATATATATATATATATATATATATTTATATATATATATATATATATATATATATATATATATATATATATATATATATATATATATATATATATATATATATATACACACATATATCGATATATATCTATCTCTCTCTCTCTCTCTCTCTCTCTATATATATATATATATATATATATATATATATATATATATATATATATATATATATATATATATATATATGAGAAGTTATACAATTAAGAATGTATCTCAAATTTAAAATAAGCGGCAATTTAAAATCAATTTTTCATGAAGATTTTTAGCAAACAAATTAGCTGACCTCAAGAATTTAGATCATTACAACAAAGCACAACCAAATTGTTTACCCGAAGTCAAAAGAGATTCTGTCCGAAATACTCGGACAACGACTAGAAAAGCAAACATAAACCTACATCAATGACGTAATCACTGACCTTACAGGTTAAGGCGTCTAATGCGAACAGTTTTCTATTCGTCAGGAGCTTCATAACGGCAGTGCCAGCTGTAGAATACGAGATTGTAAAATGACAAAAAAATCCTAAAATTTATTTAGAAATGTTACATTTGTAAACATATTGGGCAGCACCCCTTTTCTATAATCCACAATAAAGTATGATCGGAATGTATATATACTTCACATAAACGACAGATGGTTTTTCTCACTTTTACAATTCATGGGCTCAGTAGCCATTTAATAACAGTGTTTCTAGGATAAGATATTATCTTTGGGTGTGAGTTCGTAGACACTACACAATGGAACAATGAAACAAGGTTTAACAGGTGTTTTGCCATGTAGATCATACATAGGTGACCACAGAACCTGGTGTAGACAGGAGTGTTATGTCCTGTTGATCCTCTATGCCCTGTTGATACTAAACAGTGGGGGGCACACAACCCTGTTTACCTGTAGACAAGTGTGTCATGCCCTCGTAGGTTGTGTTGTAGCCGTTGGTGTGTTATGTCATATTGATTCTACACTAAGGACCACATAACCCTGTTTATCTGTAGACAGGTGTATGATGCCGTGTAGATTCTACACAAGGGACCATAGAACCTAGTTTACCTGTAGACAGGTGTGTGATGCCCTCGTAGGTTGGGTTGTAGCTGTTGATGAACTCGCTACACGAGCGCCCGCAGACGATGGAGATGACTTCTTTCTCGGGGTCATTGGAAATTTCCTTGATGGCATCAAGCAGAACTTTGGTGCCCTGGTGGAGGGTGGGAGCAGAGGTAAGGGTTAGAGGTAGTGGGGAGGGTTAGAGGCAGTGGGGAGAGTTAGAGGCAGTGGGGAGGGTTAGAGGCATGGGGAGAGTTAGAGGCAGTGGGGAGGGTTAGAGGCAGTGGGGAGGGGTTAGAGGCAGTGGGGAGGGCTAGAGGCAGTGGGGAGGGTTAGAGGCAGTGGCAAGAGTTAGAGGTAGTGGGAAGGGTTAGAGGCAGTGTGAAGGGTTAGAGGCAGTGGCAATGGTTAGGGTTAGAGGCAGTGGGGAGGGTTAGAGGTAGTGGGAAGGGTTAGAGGCAGTGGCAATGGTTAGAGTTAGAGGCAGTGGGGAGGGTTAGAGGTAGTGGGAAGGGTTAGAGGCAGTGGCAAGGGTTAGAGGCAGTGGGGAGGGTTAGAGGTAGTGGGAAGGGTTAGAGGCAGTGGCAAGGGTTAGATGCAGTGGGAAGGGTTAGGGTTAGAGGCAGTGTGAAGGGTTAGAGGCAGTGGCAAGGGTTAGAGGCAGTGGGGAGGGTTAGAGGCAGTGGCAAGGGTTAGAGGCAGTGGCAAGGGTAAGGGTTAGAGGCAGTGGTAAGGGTTAGGGTTAGAGGCAGTTGCAATGGTTAGGGTTAGAGGCAGTGGGGAGGGTTAGGGTTAGAGGCAGTAGGGAGGGGTAGAGGCAGTGGCAAGGGTTAGAGGCAGTGGGGAGGGTTAGAGGCAGTGTGGAGGGTTAGAGGAAGTGGCAAGAGTTAGAGGTAGTGTGAAGGGTTAGAGGCAGTGTGAAGTGTTAGAGGCAGTGGGGAGGGTTAGAGGCAGTGGGAAGGGTTAGAGGCAGTGGCAATGGTTAGGGTTAGATGCAGTAGGAAGGGTTAGGGTTAGAGGCAGTGGGGAGGGTTAGAGGCAGTGGCAAGAGTTAGAGGTAGTGGGAAGGGTTAGAGGCAGTGGCAATGGTTAGGGTTAGATGCAGTGGGAAGGGTTAGGGTTAGAGGCAGTGGGGAGGGTTAGAGGCAGTGGCAAGGGTTAGATGCAGTGGGAAGGGTTAGGGTTAGAGGCAGTGGGGAGGGTTAGAGGCAGTGGCAAGAGTTAGAGGTAGTGGGAAGGGTTAGAGGCAGTGTGAAGGGTTAGAGGCAGTGGGGAGGGTTAGAGGCAGTGGAAGGGTTAGAGGCAGTGGGGAGGGTTAGAGGCAGTGGGGAGGGTTAGGGTTAGAGGCAGTGGGGAGGGTTAGAGGCAGTGGGGAGGGTTAGAGGCAGTGGGGAGGGTCAGAGGCAGTGGGGAGGGTTAGAGGCAGTGGGGAGGGTTAGAGGCAGTGGGGAGGGTCAGAGGCAGTGGGGAGGGTTAGAGGCAGTGGCAAGGGTTAGAGGCAGTAGGGAGGGTTAGGGTTAGAGGCAGTGGGGAGGGTTAGAGGCAGTGGGGAGGGTTAGAGGCAGTGGGGAGGGTTAGAGGCAGTGGGGAGGGTTAGAGGCAGTGGGGAGGGTTAGAGGCAGTGGGGAGGGTTAGAGGCAGTGGCAAGGGTTAAGGTTCAAGGCGTTGTAATGTTTAGTTGCAGCAGAAAGAGTTGGGGTTAGAGACAGTGGGAAGGGTTAGAGGCAGTGGCAAGGGTTAGGGTTAGAGGCAGCAACAACAGTAAAGGTGGAAAGGATTAGGGTTAAAGCTGTGTAAAGGGCTAAAAGCAGTGTAAAGAGTTAGGTTTAGAGGCAGTGGCGTTGGTTGGTGAAAAATGTAGTGGCAAGGGTTGGGGTTAGAGGCAGTGGTAAAGGTTAGCAAAGGCTAGTGTTAGATACATTGCAAGTGTTTCGGGTTAGCAAAGTTTATGGTTAGAACCGGCGAGATAGTTGAGGAAACCAAAATCCACATTTAGTACCAATTAATTCGATTCATATGTATCTAAGCTTTAGCTACAAAGTCATATAAAAAATCATTAAAAAAAACGTTTTAATAACAAGCTTTTATGTAATAATGCACTAAAAAAGTGCATATATATATATATATATATATATATATATAGATATATATATGTATATATATATATATGTATATATATATATATATGTATATATATATGTATATATATGTATATATGTATATATATATATATATATATATATATATATATATATATATATATATATATATATATATATATATATATATATATATATATATATATATGTATATATATATATATATATATATATATATATATATATATATATATATATATGTATATATGTATATATATATATAATTATATATGTATATGTATATATATATATATATATATATATATATATATATCTATATATATATATATATATATATATATATATATATATATGGTATTGAAAATGGTACCTTTGCAAAAGCATCAATTTTTGTAACCCCCAAAGTTCCAGTCCAGAGGATAATGTTGGACTTCTTGACGATCCGAGCAAACATTGTGGCGCTCAAGTCCCCAACATCAACTATCTCCTTGCCTTCTGGTATGGGCTTCGTGATGCTATGCTGAAATGTTAAGGAGTTTATTGAGCAGCAGGCTAACATTGCTTTTTTAAACATGGATGATAGTTTAGAACAGGGGTCTCCAAACTTTTCAGTCCGAGGGCCGCATTAACTATCAAATTTCAGTTCGGGGGCCAGTTTAATCCACGCATGTCTTTGATTTTTCTGGGCAAAGTTCCTCAGCAATCACCGACAAACGAATTTTCCTAGGACAAAAAGATCTCAGCGGGCCGGGTGAGAGGACCCCGCGGGCCGTAGTTTGGAGACCCCTGGTTTAGAAGATATTTAGTTAATTTAACTAGTTATTACTGCAACATACGATCCACGATAGGAAAGAACTTAATGCACTAGGTAGGCCTACGAAAGAAACCAAATTGTGTACATAAGAGATAGAGATATGTTAGAAAGAAAACCAAATTGTGTACATAAGAGATAGAGATGTTATAAAGGAAACCAAATTGTGTACATAAGAGATAGAGATGTTAGAAAGGAAACCATATTGTGTACATAAGAGATAGAGATATGTTAGAAAAGAAACCAAATTGTGTACATAAGAGATAGAGATAAGTTAGAAAAGAAACCATATTGTGTACATAAGAGATAGAGATACGTTAGAAAGAAAACCAAATTGTGTAATAAGAGATAGAGATGTTAGAAAGAAAACCAAATAAGAGATAGAGATAATTTAGAAAGGAAACCTACTTGTATACATAAAAGGTAGGTTAGAAAGGAAGATAAATAGTGCACATCAAAGATAGAAGTAGGTTATAAAGAAATTCAAATACTGTTCTAGAAGATAGAAGTAGTGTAAAAAGAAACGGTAAAATGGAATTCAATGTTTTATATAGATGATAGAGATAATTTTAAAGGAAACCTAATGCTTTACATAAGATATAGAGTTACGATAGAAAGAAAATGGTAGAGATTTTTATATGGGTACTATGTGAAGGAAGAGCAGATGGAAATAGATATTGACTAGAAAGGAAACCTAATGTTTTACAAAAGAGATAGAGTTACGATAGAAAGAAAATGGTAGAGATTGTTACATAGATTGTGAAGGAAGAGCAGATGGAAATAGATATTGACTAGAAAGAAACCCGTAGGTGGAGTTCGAGGTACCATAGAGATTATCCAAAGTGCCGTACCAGTGAGGGGTTCTCACCCCCGGGCTCAGCTATCCAGAGGTCCACGGGGTAGTGGAGGTTACATTTGTAGTAAGGTGCCAGAGTGATAATCGCTTTGACCATTTCCTCAATGGAGTTATCGTACTTTGAGTTACTCGACGCCATGCCTAAATCGAACTATTATGTAAAAAAGGAATATATATATATATATATATATATATATATATATATATATATATATATATATATACAAATATATACATATATATACATACATATATTTACAAACATATATATATATATATATATATATATATATATATATATATATAACTAGTGTAGTTACTAAAGACGATTGATAAGAACGCAATACAGTCTGTCAACTAAGACATGACCAAGGCCAAACTGAACTGATGCAACGGATGCAGGTGGTGTGACAGAAATAGAAACAAAAGTCTAATAATAACTAGTACAAGACAACTGCGTAGTTGGGAGGCGAGATAATCGGACTGTACATAGCTATGATGCAACGGATAGAACCGATTACGAATACGAGGCGATATAATAGGACGGCACGACAGTAGTGGGGAGAACAGAAGTTGAAGCCTGAACTGTAGATACGTGCTTTAATTAGGAGAACAGAAGTTGAAGCCTGAACTGTAGATACGTGTTTTAATGTGTTAGAATAAGATTGAAAGCCTGAACCATGGGCACGTGTATTCTGATGTGTGAGAACTAGTAAGGACAGTGGGGGTCAGTTGGTTCATTGTATTCTTGTGGAACATTGATGCATTGCTATGTGGAGCATTTCTATTGATTCAATTAATAAAGAGATAAATGTAAACCTGCACTTCAGAGTATCTGTATTGTGATTAATGTTGTGTGCCGGTCAAAGATAGCACAAGTAAATACACTCTGTAACATTTGACGTTGCGAGTAAATACACTCGGTAACATATATATATATATATATATATATATATATATATATATATATATATATATATATATATATATATATATATATATATATGTATGTAACTATTTTCATTCGATTTACTTTTAGAAAGATGGAGGCGATCTCTCCAGCCACAATAATGTCGTCGACCTCCTTCATCAGATCCAGCATCGTGAAGACTTTCTCCTTGCTGATCTTCCCGCCAACGATGACCAGGAACTTCCGCTTGGGGTTGTTGAACACCTTGGCCATGTACTTGAGCTCGTTCTTGACCAGGAACCCGGCGACGCGCGGCGTCTTGTAGTAGCCGGTGAGGGAGCTGTGGTCCATGTCGAGGCAGGAGAAGGCGTCGTTGACGTAGACGTCGCCGAGGTTGGTCAGGCTCTCGCAGAACTGAGCGATGGCTTCCGGTGTGGCTTTGACGTTTTCGGAGCTCTTGAGCAAGACGGCTTGTGCAGAAGGGAGAAGGGGTATTAAAAAGCTAGGCGTTTTTGTGAAGTTGTTTTAATTTATGACAAACAATATTAAAAAGCTAGGCGTTTTAGTGAAGTTGTTTTAATATATGACAAACAATATTAAAAAGCTAGGCGTTTTAGTGAAGTTGTTTTAATATATGACAAACAATATTAAAAAGCTAGGCGTTTTTGTGAAGTTGTTTTAATTTATTACAAATAATATAAAAAATCTAGGCGTTTTAGTTAAGTTGTTTTAATTTATGACAAACAATATTAAAAACTAGGCATTTTCGCTTAGTTGTTTTAATACACGACATACAATATTAAAAAGATAGGCATCTTCGAGAATTATTTTTAACCCATTCGAAATGGTAAAAAAATACAGTGTTTTCGTTTATTTCTTTTGATTCGAGAATAAGAAAATTTAGAAAAATATGCGTGTTTGTTTCCTGTTTGCTACATAACAAACACTTTTAACAAGGTAGCGGTTTCTTTTTTTTTTTTTACCGAAACAAAAAATATTAAAAAGTTAAGCCTCGTATTTAATATACCTACACCTTCCAATTTACTCACGAGCCCTACAGCTAACACAACACAAACATGTAACATGTAACAAAATAATTCACGTATTTGATATACCGACGTCTTCCACCTTACATAACAGCTAATACAACACAACACAAACATGTAACAAAATAATCCACGTATTTGATATACCGACAGCTTCCACCTTACATAACAGCTAACACAACACAAACACGTAACAAAAGAAACTACGTATTTGATATGCCGAAGCCCTCCTGCTTACATAACAGCTAACATAACACAACACCACACAAACACGTAACGCCTCATCCTACATATACCACCACAACACAAATACTTAACAAAAGAAACCACATATTTGATATGCCAACGCCTTAGACTTTTCCTACAACTATCACCACAACACAAACACGTAACAAAATAAACCACATATTTGATATGCCGACGCCTTAGACCTCATCCTACATCTACCACAACACAAACACGTAGCAAAAGAAACCACATATTTGATACGCCAACGCCCTCATCCTACATCTACCACAACACAAACACGTAACAAAAGAAAGCACATATTTGATATGCCGACGCCTTAGACCTCATCCTACATCTACCACAACACAAACACGTAGCAAAAGAAACCACATATTTGATACGCCAACGCCCTCATCCTACATCTACCACAACACAAACACGTAACAAAAGAAACCACGTATTTGATATGCCGACGCCCTCCTCCTACATCTACCACAACACCACCACAACACAAACACGTAACAAAAGAAACCACATATTTGATATGCCGACGCCCTCCTCCTTACATAACAGATAACATAACACAACACAAACACGTAACAAAAGAAACCACATATTTGATATGCCGACGCCCTCCTCCTTACATAACAGATAACATAACACAACACAAACACGTAACAAAAGAAAGCACATATTTGATATGCCGACGCCCTCCTCCTTACATAACAGATAACATAACACAACACAAACACGTAACAAAAGAAAGCACATATTTGATATGCCGACGCCCTCCTCCTTACATAACAGATAACATAACACAACACAAACACGTAACAAAAGAAAGCACATATTTGATATGCCGACGCCCTCCTCCTTACATAACAGATAACATAACACAACACAAACACGTAACAAAAGAAACCACATATTTGATATGCCGACGCCCTCCTCCTTACATAACAGATAACATAACACAACACAAACACGTAACAAAAGAAAGCACATATTTGATATGCCGACGCCCTCCTCCTTACATAACAGATAACATAACACAACACAAACACGTAACAAAAGAAAGCACATATTTGATATGCCGACGCCCTCCTCCTTACATAACAGATAACATAACACAACACAAACACGTAACAAAAGAAAGCACATATTTGATATGCCGACGCCCTCCTCCTTACATAACAGATAACATAACACAACACAAACACGTAACAAAAGAAAGCACATATTTGATATGCCGACGCCCTCCTCCTACATCTAACACAACACAAACACGTAACAAAAGAAAGCACGTATTTGATATGCCGACGCCCTCCTCCTCCAGATTAAAGCGCAGGTTCTCCACCATCAGCACGGCCCCGGGGTGGATTTGGTTGATGGCCGCCTCTACAGATTTCCCCACAGTCTCCGGCACGAACAGGACCTGTAGAGGACAAAGTTAAGTTGATGGCAGGACAATATCTAGTACACAACATGGGACAATGGCATCACTCTAGGGGACAATGGCATCACTCTAGGGGACTATGCTAAGTTAATGGCAGGGAATGTCTAGTACACCACATGGGACAATGGCAGCACTCTAGGGGACAATGTTGAGTAAATGGCAGGACAATATCTAGTACACCAAATAGGACAATGGCAGCACTCTAGGGGACAATGGCAGCACTCTAGGGGACAATGGCAGCACTCTAGGGGACAATGGCATTACTCTAGGGGACAATGTCAGCACTCTAGGGGACAATGGCATCACTTTATTGGACTATGTTGAGTTAATGGCAGGGAATGTCTAGTACACCACATAGGACAATGGCAGCACTTTAGGGGACAATGGCAGCACTCTAGGGGACAATGGCATTACTCTAGGGGACAATGGCATTACTCTATGGGACTATGGCAACACTCTAGGGGACAATGGCATCACTTTATTGGACTATGTTGAGTTAATGGCAGGGAATATCTAGTACACCAAATAGGACAATGGCAGCACTCTAGGGGACAATGTCGAGTTGATGGCAGGACAATATCTAGTACACCAAATAGGACAATGGCAGCACTCTAGGGGACAATGGCAGAACTCTAGGGGACAATGTCGAGTTGATGGCAGGACAATATCTAGTACACCAAATAGGACAATGGCAGAACTCTAGGGGACAATGGCATCATTCTAGGGGACATTGGCATCACTTTAGGGGACAATGGCATCACTTTATTGGACTATGTTGAGTTAATGGCAGGGAATATCTAGTACACCACATAGGACAATGGTAGCACTCTAGGGGACAATGGCATCACTTTATTGGACTATGTTGAGTTAATGGCAGGGAATGTATAGTACACCACATGGGACAATGGCATCACTCTAGGGGACAATGCTAAGTTAATGGCAGGAACAATGTTATCACTCTAGAGGACAATTTCAAAAAGTTGTCCATGTTGGTCAATCAAAAAGCTGTTCATATTGGTCTATTGAAACTAAAGCTGTCCCTGTTAGTCAATTGAAAAAAGCTAGTCATCTATATCATCTTTTTTTGTGTGCCCGAGACACATGTAAACATGTTGGTCAATTGACTACATACATATGGGACATATACAGTACCGCTTGTCCGAGTAGAGAGGCCAGGGCATCACAGATGGGCTTGAGGGAGAACTCGGACATTTTTCTGCCGGATGGCGTCCCCTGATGAGCTATGATGACCACTGACTTGGCCCTGTTCCTCAGCGCGTATTTGATCGTGGGTATCGTCATACGGATTCGGTAGTTGTTGGATAGGTTGTTGGCCTTGGTGTTGGGCACACTGAAGTCGACTCTAGAATGAGCAGTATTAATTTCAAAAGTTGTTCGATTATTGGCCTTGGTGAAAGTAACATTGAAGCCTAATCTAGAAATAGCTTGTGAAATTTTAAAAGTTAGTTAGGTTATTGGATTGGTGTTGAGCATAATGAAGTCGACTCTATTATGAGCAGTAGAAATTTCAAAAGTTGTTAAGTCAATACATTGAGTTGGTTACATTGGTCGGCTCTTGAGTGAGCATTCAAACAAACAAAATTTACAAATGTTTGATGTTACTGAGGCAGGGTACACTAATTTGAAAGACAAATAGAAACAGGATATGTCGAAAATTGTAAACATTAGTTAATTAATTATTGAAAGTAATACTATATTTCCTAAACTAAGTAGTTTAACTATGAAACATTAAATATTGTGTAGTTTAACCATTACAATTTAGCAGACGCTTCGCGAGGCGGGGGCGGTGGGTGTGGCCACCACTGGGTGACAGCTTTTGGGGGGGGGGACACAAAAATTGCAAGATATATGGAATAAATATGTTTTTTTTTTGCCAGTTCAATGAATGGTTAGTTAGAGTTTAAAAATAATTTAAGTACATAGGGACGATCGCGGGGGGAGGGGGGGGGGATGTTGAACAACTGCAAATTTACAGAGAAATATAAAAAGGGGGGGGGGGAGCAGGGGTGACATCATGAGGTGCCACACAAGGTGACACCCGACCTAGCGATGCAACTGCAATTTAGCCTGTTTAATCATTAAAAAATGGGGTAGTTTAACCATTTAAAACTGTGTACGTTTAACCAGTGAAAAAAAAAAGGTACGTCTAACCACTAAAACAAAGCTCAGTTACCGAATAAGGACCCTGCGGCCCTCTAGAGGTACGTCATGTATCCCCATGATACGGGAGCCGTTGTCTATCATAGCCCCGGGGATCTCAAACGATACCGGCTTGTTGGATGGTATCACGGGGATGGGTTGGCGTTTCTGTAGAGAGACAAATTGTACGGTATTTAAAACACAACAAAATTTGTATCACGGGGATGGGTTGGCGTTTCTGTAGAGAGATAAATTGTACGGTATTTAACACACAAAACATTGACATGCTCTCGTGATTTGAGATTGGTTGTTATGAATGAGCCCATAGGCGTAGCGAGGGGGAGGCGGGGGGGGGGGACATATGTCCCCGGGCGCCGACCTTAGGGGGAGCCAAAATGGGTTGGAAAAACAAATTGACAGTTTGAGGGGGGAGGTGCAAATCGAAAGTTTGTCCCCGGGCGCCGAGAAGGGTCGCTACGCCTCTGAATGAGCCACTTCAGTTGACTTGTTTTGTTATTATAATTACACACATGATTGTATGCACTGTAGCATAGAGTTTGATTTCGTTATGGCTTGATTCTTATTTTTAAATCCCCCCATCCAACATTAGTAGTATCTTCGAGATTTATGTTTGCTAGTATCCAGATCAGAGGCGGTGTAAGGCAGGGGCGTGGGGTGCGGACCGCAACGGGTGACACCATTTAGTGGGCGGAGGGGTGACACCAAGACGAAAAATTGAAAAATGTATAGTAGAAAAATGCTACCGGCCAGTTTAATTCCTAATTAATTAGAGATAAAAAAAAAATTATGCTCAAATTAACGATTCCGATATGGGGGAATGGGGGAGGGGTGACACCTGGACGTAAACCTACTAATTATAGAGAAAACAGTTTTACATTCAGCTTTATTACATATATATATATATATATATATATATATATATATATATATATATATTTATAAACTTATACTTTTTTGTTTGGAGGGGGTTGACACTATTAGGTTTCGCACCGGGTAACGCCCGACCTAGCGACGCCACTGATCCGGATACATGGTAAAATACCCCGATTTGGTTCCAAGAGAAATGATCTCAAACAAACCATCTAAACTAACTTTTTTAAATCGATTTCCCCTTTTTAGTTTCTTTAACCATTCTTTACCATCACATTCAATCATCTTTTGAATTATAATTCAAACTTGTGACATAATGATAGAGATATTACAACCTTGTGTATAAATTAAAGTTTCTTTGAGTTAGCTAAACCTTTATCTAAAGGGGGGAAAAATTTATGATGTAAAACCTACAGAGATGAATAACTCCAAAAAAAAGACATATTTTGTTTCTTAAATATTGGCTCTTGCTTCTAATTCATTACATTTATATCCGTTTTGTTTCATACATTCATTCATCCATTGGCGCTTTAAGCAACTTGCAATAGTATTAACCCCCCCCCCCCCCCTCCCCGTTTAAGAGTATTTCGAATTTTTATTCTATTTTCCCAAGTGACTTGGCCTTGTAACTGATCAGAATTTCTTAGAATATGTATAGAAACGAGTTTAATTACCAGCAGTTACGTATAACAAAACACAGAGGCGTAGCGATGGGGGGGGGGGGGGGGGGTGGCAGGGGGTACATATGTCCCGGGACGCCGACCTTAGGGGGCGCCAAATGGGTTTTAAAAACGAATTAAAATCTTATTTCAGCTGCAGTTTTGCATGAAAAATATAAAAAATATATGGGGGGGGGGATGCAAATTGAAAGTTTGAGGGGGGTGCAAATGGAATGTTTGATGGGGGGGGGGGGGTGCAAATTGAAAGTTTGAGGGGGGTGCAAATTGAAGATTGAAAGGTTGTTCCCGAGGGAGCGCCAAATTGAAAGTTTGTCCCCGGGCGCCGGGAAGGGTCGCTACGCCTCTGACAAAACGAGAAAAGTATATTTTAATGAAAGAGTAAATAACATTTAGAACAACTTAACTTGGGTCAGAGGAGCGGGAGAGCTTTAACTTACTTTTATTTTCTTACGATACCGGTTCAGTACAGCAAGTCCTTTGGGGAGTTTACCATTCAGTAGCATGGAGGTTACTTCTCCGTCTGGTAAAAAAAAGTGATGTAAGAGAGGGATTGTGATATTAAGACTTAACAGAGGAAATATGATGTAAGAAAGGGAATTCGATGTTTGAGACTTAACACTGTGAATATGATGTAAGAAAGGGATTGTGATAATTGAGACTTAACAGGGGGAATATAATGTAAGGAAGGGATTGTGATATTTGAGACTTAACACTGTGAATATAATGTAAGAAAGGGATTGTGATATTTGAGACTTAACACTGTGAATATAATGTAAGGAAGGGATTGTGAGATTTGAGACTTAACAGGGGGAATGTAATGTAAGGAAGGGATTGTGATATTTGAGACTTAACACTGTGAATATAATGTAAGGCAGGCAGAGTTGTGATATTTGAGACTTAACAGGGGGAATATAATGTAAGGAAGGGATTGTGATATTTGAGACTTAACAGGGGGAATATAATGTAAGGAAGGGATTGTGATATTTGAGACTTAACAGAGGGAATGTGAAGTCAAAGGGATTGTGATATTTGAGACTTAACAGAGGGAATATAATGTAAGGAAGGGATTTTGATATTTGAGACTTAAAAGAGGGAATGTGAAGTAAAAGGGATTGTGATATTTGAGGGAATGTGAAATAAAAGGGATTTTGATATTTGAGACTTAACAGAGGGAATGTGAAATAAAAGGGATTGTGATATTTGAGACTTAACAGAGCGAATGTGAAATACAAGGGATTGTGGTATCTGGGGCTCAACATTGGGAATGTGAAATAGGAAGGGATTGTTACATTTAAAACTTAAAACTTGGAGAATGATGAAAAAAGGAGTAGTGATATTTGAGAATTAACATTGTATTAACAATGGGAATGTGATGTAAGAAGAGATTGTTCTACGTGATATTTGAAATGTGATCAACAAAGATGCATGATTACGGTTGTAAAAAATGCACTCTTAATTTTGAAAATTGTTTTTGATGAATCTTCTCTTTCTTTGTAAGGAGACCAAAACAATGATTAAACTGTTCCTATTGTAGTAGTATATTTTATACTGCTTTATAATTTATATGTTTCAGTTTATATTATTCTCTTTTTAACGGCTATAATTTTCAAAAGTACATATTTACTAGAATAGAATTAAGATGAGCCTTGTCCAATATTGAAATAACTACTATCGTGAATTTTCTATTTTAATTAATATAACTCTGCTTGTGTAAAAAGTCGAATAAAATAGTGTGTTATAATATCTTATTAGATCAAAGTGTATGACCCACTTGCAGTTACGTGAGACACGTTTTCCGGTTCCTGAATGGCGAAAAAGATTTTCTTCGTGGCATCGTCAGCGATGTAGGTCCAGGCACCCTGGTTGGTGGCGGCAGCGAAGGCGTTGGAGATGGACGTGGTGCCGTCTGCCAGCTCCCCCATCTCCCCACACCACAGGATCGTCCGGGCGAAGGAGATGACCTTCTCGTAGCACCCCCGGGTGAAGGGCCCGATGTCGACGACTTCGTACCCTGGGGGTCAGATAAAAGTTACACGTAGAGGAGTAATATGGGTCATACAGTCGTTAGGAGAGGCAGGGGGGGGGGGGTCAGACACAAGTTACACGTTGAGGAGTAATATGGGTCATACAGTCGTTAAGAGAGGCAGGGAGGGGGGGGGGTCAGACACAAGTTACACGTTGAGGAGTAATATGGGTCATACAGTCGTTAGGAGAGGCAGGGGGGGGGGGGGGGTCAGACACAAGTTACACGTTGAGGAGTAATATGGGTCATACAGTCGTTAAGAGAGGCAGGGGGGGGGTCAGACACAAGTTACACGTTGAGGAGTAATATGGGTCATACAGTCGTTAAGAGAGGCAGGGGGGGGGGGGGGGGGGCAGACACAAGTTACACGTTGAGGAGTAATATGGGTCATACAGTCGTTAAGAGAGGCAGGGGGGTCAGACACAAGTTACACGTTGAGGAGTAATATGGGTCATACAGTCGTTAAGAGAGGCAACGGGGTCAGACACAAGTTACACGTTGAGGAGTAATATGGGTCATACAGTCGTTAAGAGAGGCAGGGGGGTCAGACAGAGATTTTCGTTGGAGGAGCGTCTTATGGGTCAGACAATAGTTACCCTCAGAGAAGTTATAAGGGTCAGACAAGACATTAGATGAGTCTTAGGAGTTAGGCAACGATAAAAAAGATAGTTATGTAAACACTAATCTAATCTAACATTCATTAATACAGTTATATACATCGTATCTAATCTAACCTTCATCTATACTGCTACATTGGGGTCATCCATAAATGACATCACGCTTTTTTTGACGATTTTTACCTCCACCCTCCCCTCCGTCACACGTCGTCACAAAAAGCCAGACCCCCCCCCCCTAAAATGACGTCACACCTCAGCCTACAACCCCCCCCCCCTCCCTGAAAATTGCAGTTGAGTTTTTTTTTAAACATCGATATTTTTCCAAACTCTTGTCTGAACTCTGTCAAAATAGAGTATTTTAATCAATTCCTATTACAATTTATCAAAACAGTTTTCTAAAACGCGAAATAACGTCTAAAATTCGTTTTTTCTTTTTTATAATGAAAAAAGTGTGTCGTCGCACCATCTGAACCCCCCCCCCTCCCCCTCATCACATCGTCACAAAACTACTGACCCCCCCCTCACCCCTCCGAGTGTGACGTCATTTATGGACGACCCCATTTCCTATTTTATCTAATCTTTAACAATATAGTTAAATAAACCATACATTATCTAACCTTCATAAATCTAGTTATATATTATACCCCTTATTTTATTATTATCTTACCTTTATCTATACTGCTATTCCTTATTTCATCTAACCGTAAACAATCTAGTTAAATAAACCATACATTATCTAACCTTCATGAATCTAGCTATATAAACCCTATCGTATCTTACCTTCATCAATATCTTCTCGAGTGAGTACTGTAAAATACTCGCCCGTCGTTATATTTCTCACCACAACATCTGAGGGTAAATATATGGCTGTGTTCGTGTCTTTAGCCCGTGTGTGAATCTTCAGTGCCTGTAGACATACAACATAAAGCTAGTGCCTGTAGACATACAACATAAAGCTAGTGCCTGTAGACATACAACATAAAGCTAGTGCCTGTAGACATACAACATAAAGCTAGTGCCTGTAGACATACAACATAAAGCTAGTGTCTGTAGACATACTACATAAAGCTAGTGTCTGTAGACATACAACATAAAGCTAGTGCCTGTAGACATACAATATAAAGCTAGTGCCTGTAGACATACAACATAAAGCTAGTGCCTATAGACATACAACATAAAGCTAGTGCCTGTAGACATACAACATAAAGCTAGTGCCTGTAGACATACAACATAAAGCTAGTGCCTGTAGACATACAACATAAAACTAGTACCTGTAGACATACAACATACAGCTAGTGTCTGTAGACATACAACATAAAGCTAGTGCCTGTAGACATACAACATAAAGCTAGTGTCTGTAGACATACAACATAAAGCTAGTGTCTGTAGACATACAACATAAAGATGGTGTCTGTAGACATACAACATAAAGATGGTGCCTGTAGACATACAACATAAAGATGGTGCCTGTAGACATACAACATAAAGCTGGTGTCTGTAGATATACAACAAAAAGCTAGTGCCTGTAGACATACAACATAAAGCTAGTGCCTGTAGACATACAACATAAAGCTAGTGCCTGTAGACATACAACATAAAGATGGTGCCTGTAGACATACAACATAAAGCTGGTGTCTGTAGACATACAACATAAAGCTAGTGCCTGTAGACATACAACATAAAGCTAGTGCCTGTAGACACACAACATAAAGCTAGTACCTGTAGACATACAACATAAAGCTAGTGCCTGGAGACATACAATATAAAGCTAGTGCCTGTAGACATACAACATAAAGCTAGTGCCTGTAGACATACAACATAAAGCTAGTGCCTGTAGACATACAACATAAAGCTAGTGTCTGTAGACATACAACATAAAGCTAGTGCCTGTAGACATACAACATAAAGCTAGTGCCTGTAGATATACAACATAAAGATGGTGCCTGTAGACATACAACATAAAGCTGGTGTCTGTAGATATACAACATAAAGCTAGTGCCTGTAGATATACAACATAAAGCTAGTGCCTGGAGACATACAATATAAAGCTAGTGCCTGTAGACACACAACATAAAGCTAGTGCCTGTAGACATACAACATAAAGTTGGTTTGACACGCATTGAATTACATACATAGACTGAAACAATGATACATTTGATATTAATTCAAAGCAAGGCAATTGTAATTGATGCTTTGGGTTTTCTTTTAGTTTTTTTCTAATCGTGTCCTTACCTTGGTGATTGTTCAGCCAAAACTTTTATCCTAAATGCTATTATTAGCTGTGGCAGTTTCCCTTTAACTAATCATGACTACAATCATTATCTAAATTAGTCATACCATCTTCTATGTCCACTATAGACGCATACAATTTCCTCCTACTTACCAGTTTCTTTGCCAGCTTCTGTCACAAGGTATTAACTGCAGTTCTTCTATACCAGTGATTCATAACCTACGTGGAGGTACAGAACCCCACCAGTTCCATAGGCGCATTCACCGAACCCTTCTTCATAGTTTTATCGTCAACACTGACAAAATCAGATCGTGAATCTTATAAGTCGGGTGTGTGTTGACCTTCACCGAACCCCTAAGACCATCTCACCGAACCCCTGGGTTTCCATTGAACCCAGGTTAAGAACCACTGTTCTATACCAAACACCAACAACATCACCACTGTTTACCTTTTTCAGCATCTTCGGCGTCCATTGAGTCGAGCCGATGTCGATTTTTTTCAAAGCTTTTAAAAAGATCATGGCTAGTTCTCCGCCCAGTATTATCTCCTGAGCTATACCTGTAGGGATTAGAGAAACATTGTAAACTTACGGTGGCAGTTGCTAGACAGAGAGGGCGAGTTAACAGACAGTGATACAATTGTGATACAATTGTATTGTTCGGATAAGATTTCGATCTATAAATAACATAGTGTTAGCTTAGCCAATGTGTTTATACTTAAGTAAACACACTTTAACTTAGTCTTTGGGAAAAAAAAATTCACGAGCTCAAATAAATCAACACAAAAAACAACCAGTCATCAAAGTTTAAACCTACCCATTGATAAATCACCTATAACAGCCTACCGATTAATGAAACAGAAAAACTATTCATTTTAAAAAATCCACCTCATTATTTAAAAAAGAAACCTACCCATTTTTAAAACAGCTGTACCCATTGAAAAAAAAATAACTCATTTATAAAACTCCAACGCGAAATGGAAGTTAAGTAAGCAAAGTTCCATTTCAAACCTGGCGGCCCAAACGGCAGGTGAAGTAGAGTTGAACTGTTTTTATGCTCTCGGCCAGCACTATGCCCAGTCGCCTTTACTTTCCCTAACCTAAGTAAGCTACCCATCAGAGCTATATGGGCGCAGGGACGTGCTACAACTCTTACTAAGTATCAGAACTCGATACTGTGTAATACATCGAAACCCATAAATAAATCCTACCAGGGGCGGAACTACCATACCGCCAGACCCCGCAATGCGGGGGGGGCCCAGGACGTTTAGGGGCCCAGTTCCGACCTAAAAACAATGAATTTTTTCAAAAATTACGTTTTTCAAGCATCTTGAAAATGGTTTTGTAAAAGAAAAAAAAACAAAAAAAAACAAAAAAAAAAACAGGTCTACCATAGCAGAGATTGATGCGTAGAAAAATATTTTAAAATCTACAAGAGCTATAGTTTGAAAGGTAGGAAAACATTCACACTACTTCCATGACTTACTGCCCTTCTTTAAAATAGGGATGCCCACGAAGCTCATTTAAATAGTTTTGTACTATGTAAATTAAAAAGCAATTGATTCTCTGAATTATTATTTAAATAAGACGTACTAAACAATGGTATAGCTATAAAAATCAATGTTTTCAAAATTTATATTATAAAAGCCAAAAATGAAAAAATAAACATAACGCGAGAAACCATTCACGAATCAAGCTTACGACTTTATATATTTTTGACCAGCTTAGTTTGTTGTGGTCATGATAATTTCTAGCCCAAGATGAGTCTGGAATAAATCTGTCTGGTGACTATAACTATAGACCTATGTTTTTCGCCATGTAGCAACCAAAAAAAAAAAAATCTGTCTGGTTTGTTCTCTCAGAATGGTTATATATTGACCAAGTAGACTAAATTACGCAGGATATAGATTATATATATATATATATATATATATATATATATATATATATATATATATATATATATATATATATATATATATATATATATATATATATATATATATATATATAGGGGGCCCTAATTTTTTCTTTGCGGGGGAGCCTATTTTTTCTAGTTCCGCCACTGAATCCTACACATTAAAAAAAACAAGTTAATTAAAAAAGTCTAGTGACATTTATGCGCAATTTCCTTATGTTATCTAAAAATAGCTCTGACGTATAATGCTGGGGTGCATTCAAGCTAGAAGAACGATCGGTTTGTAGGTGTTTATGTAATTTTAAAATTTGTGACCGAACGAGAGGATATTTTTGAAAACTTTCTTCAGCAATATTGTTCTAAATTATGGCAGGAATCGATTGGTACATGTTTCAAGTCGCTAGGTGGTCTGGTTGCCGAGATATGGGCAAAAAACTGCATTTTTTCCGAGGTTTTTTGGCTTTTCCTGGAAATCCATGAAAGAAACCCGGAGATTTTATGGCCTATGTTCATTCTCGTAACTTGCTTAACATAATTGCTTTTGGAACTAGTCATCGATATTGCTTCGTTGAGGAGGAGATACGACTTAAAGCCCGGACACACATTCATCCATACATTCATTCATTCATCCATCCATTCCCAGAAATGACGAGTTAATAAACGCAATTCTCCAGAATGGAAATTGCGCTAAAAATCTGTATTTACAGAAACCTCACAAAAACATACCCACGACGACAAAAAAATCTGTATTTACAGAAACCTCACAAAAACATACCCACGACGACAAAAAAATCTGTATTTACAGAAACCTCACAAAAACATACCCACGACGACAAAAAATCTGTATTTACAGAAACCTCACAAAAACATACCCACGACGACAAAAAAATCTGTATTTACAGAAACCTCACAAAAACATACCCATGACGACAAAAAATCTGTATTTACAGAAACCTCACAAAAACATACCCACGACGACAAAAAAATCTGTATTTACAGAAACCTCACAAAAACATACCCACGACGACAAAAACATCTGTATTTTCAGAAACCTCACAAAAACATACCCATGACGACAAAAAAATCTGTATTTACAGAAACCTCACAAAAACATACCCACGACGATAAAAAAATCTGTATTTACAGAAACCTCACAAAAACATACCCATGACGACAAAAAAATCTGTATTTACAGAAACCTCACAAAAACATACCCATGACGACAAAAAATCTGTATTTACAGAAACCTCACAAAAACATACCCACGACGACAAAAAAATCTGTATTTACAGAAACCTCACAAAAACATACCCACGACGACAAAAAAATCTGTATTTACAGAAACCTCACAAAAACATACCCACGACGACAAAAAAATCTGTATTTACAGAAACCTCACAAAAACATACCCACGACGACAAAAAAATCTGTATTTACAGAAACCTCACAAAAACATACCCACGACGACAAAAAAATCTGTATTTACAGAAACCTCACAAAAACATACCCATGACGACAAAAAAATTTGTATTTACAGAAACCTCACAAAAACATACCCACGACGACAAAAAAATCTGTATTTACAGAAACCTCACAAAAACCAACCCACGACGACAAAAAAATCTGTATTTACAGAAACCTCACAAAAACATACCCACGACGACAAAAAAATCTGTATTTACAGAAACCTCACAAAAACCAACCCACGCCAACAAAAAAATCTGTATTTACAGAAACCTCACAAAAACCAACCCACGCCGACAAAAAAATCTGTATTTACAGAAACCTCACAAAAACATAGGCCCTACCCACGACGACAAAAAAATCTGTATTTACAGAAACCTCACAAAAACATACCCACGCCAACAAAAAAATCTGTATTTACAGAAACCTCACAAAAACCAACCCACGCCAACAAAAAAATCTGTATTTACAGAAACCTCACAAAAACATAGGCCCTACCCACGACGACAAAAAAATCTGTATTTACAGAAACCTCACAAAAACATAGGCCCTACCCACGACGACAAAAAAATCTGTATTTACAGAAACCTCACAAAAACCAACCCACGACGACAAAAAAAATCTGTATTTACAGAAACCTCACAAAAACCAACCCATGACGAAACAAAATCTGTATACACATAAAACCTCACCTCTTATACACAAATCTACTCATGACGAAACAAAATCTGTATACACATATAACCTCAGCTGATACAAAAACCTACCCATGACGTTGCGGACTACTTTGATTTTCTCCTTAAACTTTCCTCCAATGACTGCGGCCATTGGCTGTTGGGGACGCACGGCAAAGCGATTAAAATACTCTAGCTCGTTCTTGATGATGAACCCATAAGCTTTTTCCTTGCAACAGATAAAGAACGATAAACGGCTGTAGTGTTTATATTAATACATCCTTTGCTTACTTGTTTAAATTGTGAGTGCAGATTTCGGTCTATATAAAAGTAAAGTTCCCTTTCAAACCTGACGGTCTATAGGGCAAGTGAAGTAGAGTTCATTGTGACCTCGGCATATGAAGTGTTGTCAGCACTATGCCCAGCCGCCTTTAATTTCGCTAACATGAGTTAGGTACCCATCAGAGCTGGGTGGACTCAGGGACGGTCTACTGACTTGAACCCGGATTTGAACTCGAGACTTACGGGTTAGCAGTCTAGCTCTCTACCACTAGATCACTCCGTTCCATCGATCTATAAAACAAACTCTAATATTGATTTCAATTCTGTGATGTTTACAGGCTAGAAATTGGTGTACCATTCCGGGTGATGGGATCACCACTTTTTGTTTTTAACTTTAAAAATAGAATCAGTCTGAATATTTCACAATGCAATGGTTTCATTTATGTGATGGTGTTATCGTATAAGATGGTGTCACAGTGCGAGATGGTGTACCCTGAGATGGTGTCACACTTCAAATCGTGGTGTCGAAGAGATTATTTTTTTCCGAGTTACCTTGATCTATGACATGGTGTAACCCAATGAAGTGGTGTCTCCATATGAAATGGTATCACCCTATGCAATGGTGACATTCTATAAAATGGCATCACCTTGTGAAATGACGCTACCCTATGGTGGCACCATACGAGATGGTATCACCCTTTGAGATGGTATCACCACTAAAATGATGGTGTCAATGATATTTTATTGCGACTTACATTACGAAATAATGTTAAACGACGATATTGGGTCACCGTATAAGATAGTGTCACCTCGTAAGCTAATATCACCAAACCTACCCTACCCCCACCCAGGGATTCGAACCTCACCTGGTTTTTTATTCCGATTGTTGTGTTCGTCATATCGACCAGCTCTGCTATGGAATCGACCACGTATAAATCGGCCAGACCGAACAGCGTAGATCGGAACTTTTCAATTTCCTCTAGGGAAGCATTTTAAAACCATCGTTAAATTATAATACTTGGTTGTATCAGAACCAGCTGAATCAAATAATATATAAGATTTTAAAGTGTTGAATAGGCTATTGTTCCAATTTATTTAGCTGTCCATGGGACAATACTACATTTTGGCCTAGAAATCGTCTACTTTATCTAAATATTTGAAAATGAGATTAGGCATAAAATTATACGAATCTAAAACTAGAATACCGTTGATCTGAACATACTGAGTTCATCTGTAAAGATCATTTGGGCAGATGAAATGGAGTTCGTATGTTTCTTGACCTCGGCATATAATGGTATAATGTGGTCAGCACTATGCCCAGCCGCCTTCACCTCCGCTAACAAGAGTTAGGTACCCATCAGAGCTGAGTGGACTCAGGGATGTTCCACTAACTTAAACCCGGATTCAAACTCGAAATTATTGAGTTAGCAGTCTAGCATTCTACCGCTAGGCCACGCCGTCCCATGAGTTTATCTGTATTTTGTGTAAAACTTATTAACCTTAACTAATTCAAGGTGAGTAAGCTTGTCTAAATTGAACATGCTTCACTTACTCGTACATAACAATGACTCATATGGTTTACCAGTAGCTATCTTGAATCGGCATGAGTTCAAAACAGTTAAAGACGTAACCGGTCCATACAGTTAAAGACGCATCTGACCCATAAAGACTCACCTGGTCTATAAAGACTCACCAGGCTTACAGTCAAAGACTCACCTGACCCATACAGTCTCACCAGGTCTATAAAGACTCACCAGGCTTACAGTCTACCACGGTGCCATCAGGCATCTGTTTCCTCCCCAGTTCCTCAGGGTGGAACCCGATGTTCTCCAGCAGGAAGACGGAGCCAGGCTCAGGATCAGCACACAGTGCTCTAGCCTACGTCATTAAATACGTAAAGGTGGCAGAGGGTTAGGGTTGGTAGAAATGTGAGGTTTACAGTGGGTTAGGGTTGGTAGATTTGTGAGGTTAGCTGAGGGTTAGGGTTGGTAGAATTGTGAGGTTAGCTGTGGGTTAGGGTTGGTAGAATTGTGAGGTTAGCTGAGGGTTAGGGTTGGTAGAATTGTGAGGTTAGCTGTGGGTTAGGGTTGGTAGAATTGTGAGGTTAGCTGAGGGTTAGGGTTGATAGAATTGTGAGGTTAGCTGTGGGTTAGGGTTGGTAGAATTGTGAGGTTAGCTGTGGGTTAGGGTTGGTAGAATTGTGAGGTTGGCAGTTGATTAGGGTTGGTAGAATTGTGAGTTTAGCTGTGGGTTAGGGTTGGTAGAATTGTGAGGTTAGCTGTGGGTTAGGGTTGGTAGAATTGTGAGGTTAGCTGTGGGTTAGGGTTGGTAGAATTGTGAGGTTGACAGTGAGTTAGGGTTGGTAGAATTGTGAGGTTAGCTGTGGGTTAGGGTTGGTAGAATTGTGAGGTTGGCAGTTGATTAGGGTTGGTAGAATTGTGAGTTTAGCTGTGGGTTAGGGTTGGTAGAATTGTGAGGTTAGCTGTGGGTTAGGGTTGGTAGAATTGTGAGGTTAGCTGTGGGTTAGGGTTGGCAGAATTGTGAGGTTGACAGTGAGTTAGGGTTGGTAGAATTGTGAGGTTAGCTGTGGGTTAGGGTTGGTAGAATTGTGAGGTTGACAGTGAGTTAGGGTTGGTAGAATTGTGAGGTTAGCTGTGGGTTAGGGTTGGTAGAATTGTGAGGTTAGCTGTGGGTTAGGGTTGGTCAGTGTTTCTTCCAGACTTTTTTTTATCCTTGGGGGCACTTGAAATTTTCGGGGGGGGGGGGTAGACTTTCTTCGGGGGGCGGACACTGTTAAAAGTATATATTTTCTATATAAATTATATAAATTTCATTTCGTTCGGGGGGGGGGGGGGGCGGTAGATATTTCCGGGGGGGGGGGGGGGGGGTTGGTAGAATCCTTAGAGGTTAATAATATGTTAGGGCTTATAGAAGGTTAGCAGTAAATTAGGGCTAATAAAATGAGTAAAAATTAAGAAAAACAGAATGGATAAAGTGTTAATCAGTGGGTTAGGTTTGATCAAATCAATATGGGTTTGCAATAGTTTAGTGATAACATACACGGCAGAAGTTAGGGACAACTGAACAGAGTTAAGGTTAGTGTCAGGATATATAAGGTCTAGTTCTGGTTAATGATAAACAAACTGTATTAGTTTAGAAGAGTTCGAAGGTCAATAGAATGTTTTGAGTTTAGTAGGCTGGTCAAGGAAATCCTGGAGAAGGACAGTAGAAGAAGGGCTCGATGGCTTACATGGGTTTTAATAAAGAAAGTTGCCCAAAACCTAGTCCGATGGAAAGGTGTGGCTTCAGCCTTTTGCTCTACATAGGTCGAAGAGCTTGGCATTGATTTTGATTTATGGAAGAATATACATATACTGAAGGGTTTTTAACACAGTATCAATATACTAAGACTTAGATAAAGCAGGGTAGCACAGTCTTTGAAAAATGTACCTTCTTCTTCGTTCCTAATTGTAGTGTTGAACAAAATACATTCATCGTTCCTAATTGTAATGTTGGACAATATACCTTAATCATTCCTAACTGTATTGTTGTACAATGTACCTTCATCTTTCCTAATTGTAATGTTGGACACTGTAAGCCTACCTGATATCCCACACAGTCCTCCAGGTAGATGACTGGGCGACCCAGATGTTGCTCAAATGCGTCAGTCAGTCGATCCAGTGAGTTATCGGGGGCTTCTGCACATGCCGCGCCCTCTGTTAACACAGAAAATATATAACTTTAGATAGGGCTGGCGTTTTTTTTTTCATGCTCAGGTTGCAAGTTTAAATAGAACTTACAATTTTTGTTATTAGGGTGGACTGAGTGCTGTACATAGGAGAGAAGGACAGAGGAAGGACGGACAGGTGGAGATGGAAACATGAGCTACGGACTAGTGGGCGATTGACATATGGGAGATGGATAAAGGGGGTGAAAGATGGGCAAGAGACAAAGGGAAGGATGACAAAATATCCGACGGATCAATAGGTGAACGAATAGAGGACATGAAAATGGGCAAGTAAGTGTTGAAACTGTGAATTGACAATAGGGACATTTGGGGGTGTAGATTTTGGGGTGAAGATTTGGGGGTGGATATTTGGGAGTGGACATTTGGGAGTGGATATTTGGGAGTGGACATTTGGGAGTGGACATTTGGGAGTGGATATTTGGTAGTGGACGTTTGGGAGTGGATTTTTGGGAGTGGATTTTTTGGGAGTGGATATTTGGGAGTGGATATTTGGGAGTGGACATTTGGGAGTGGATATTTGGGAGTGGACATTTGGGAGTGGATTTTTGGTAGTGGACGTTTGGGAGTGGATTTTTTGGGATTGGACCTTTCAAAGTAGATATGTTCTAGTTATCAAGTCGAATTGGATGAATGGGAATGGACTAATGGAAATTGACAAAAAGTCGATTGAAATAAATCAGATTCGGAAAGGTATTGAATTAAATGTATTACAATAAATAATTTTGATTATTAGAAATGTTTAAATTATATTTAAAGTATCAATATCCTAAATTTGCCTGTTAAATTTTCCTCACGAAAGTGAGTACTCACATTTCAAGCCCCAGCCCTCGCTAGCGTGCCCCAGGTATTCACATTTCAAGCCCCAGCCCTCGCTAGCGTGCCTCAGGTACTTACACTTCAAGCCCCAGCCCTCGCTAGCGTGCCTCAGGTACTTACACTTCAAGCCCCCAGCCCCCCCCCCCCCCAAGATACTCACACTTCAAGCCCCCAGCCCCCCCCCCTGGTACTCACCACACGAGCTGATGATGACGACAGACTGCGCTCCCTTGTCCAGGGCATACTTGATGGTCGGCAGGATGGCCTTGAGCTTACGGCAGGCCTCCGAGACCGGATCCAGACTGAGGTCACATCGGATCATGACTCTCATGTTGGTTAGGTCACACTTGTCAATACTACGGCGTCGGACCTTTTTCAGCTGAAATGAGGTGAAAGGTCACTAGGTGAGTATTGTAAATTGTGACGGGCATCTTAACAATAAGAAAACTTAATGGAACTTGTATCGGAAATGTTGAGAAGACGGTATTTTTATTAAAGAATCTAAAATGTTACGAAAACAAGTGATCAATTCAATAATTATAACATACCTAGATTTTTTTTTTTAAAAACTCTATGTATTATCTAGTCAAATTACTACAATACAACAATAATTTGTATTTCTTTTAACCTTTCCACGATGTAAAGTAAATAAGTAGAGTTCATCTCTTTCATTATCCACGGCATATAATGGATATAATGGATAGTTCTGTGCCTAGCGGTGCTTAATTTCTCTAACGTGATTAAAGTAATGATCAAGGTTGGGTGGACTAGGGGACGGGTTTGAGAGTAAAGACCTATTAGAGTCAATACCCTAGTGACCTAGTGCATGGGTTCCCAACCGAGTGCCCGCGGGCGCCATGGCGCCCGCTGAACGATTCGTGTGTTCCCGCCTCTTACTATTCGACAGAGACAGAATATTTTTCATAAACATTATTTTGAAATATGATTTATTTTTATTCATTTGTTACAGTTTTAATTTTTTTTTACTGCCTAGGGATTGCTGCCCTGTTCGGGTCGCGACAGTTAGATAAGAGACATGTTCGTCAGACGAAACACTAATTAGGTGTTTTCTATAAAAAAAAAATTAACAGGCTAAAAGCGAGGTGCATAATTTATTGTATTCATAAGCAATGATCTATTAATAAACTATTATTATTAAAGTGATAGTTATAGTTCTTGTTATAATATACAAGAAAATAAATTATGGGAAAATGACAAGTTATGGAAGTAGTTTGTTGATTTAAAATAGGTGGTGCCCGCCACACTACCGATATTTTAGAATGTGCTCTAGAGTAACCCTGCCCTAGTGGCTAGACATAGCACCCGGATATTATAAAACAAAGTTCCCTTTCAAACCTGACGGTCTATAGGGTAAGTGAATTAGAGTTCACTTGTTTCTGTGATCTCGGCATATGAAGAGATTGTGTGGTCAGCATTATGACCAGCCGCCTTTACTTTCCCTAACATGAGTTAGGTGCCCATCAGAGTTGGGTGGACTCAGTGACGGTCTACTGACTTGAGCCCGGATTTGAACTCGAGACTTACGGGTTAGCAGTCCAGCTCTCTACCGCTAGACCACTCCTTCCCCAGGCTATCTTAGGTATTGTAAAAAACGAATAAAGCTCTAGTCCGGATATTAAAGACATGTACATGTGTGTTTGAACTGTACAACTACAGGACAACAAACACATCTACATGTGTGTTTGAAGTGTACAACTACAGGACACCAAAGACATGTACATGTGTGTTTGAACTGTACAACTACAGGACAACAAAGACATGTACATGTGTGTTTGAACTGTACAACTACAGGACAACAAAGACATGTACATGTGTGTTTGAACTGTACAACTACAGGACAACAAAGACATGTACATGTGTGTTTGAACTGTACAACTCACAAGGATTGTGTTGTCGGGTTTTTTCTTCCACAGCCACAGGTAATATTTGTCGCTGTTGATCACTTTCTTTGGTTCGGACAACTTACACAGGCGTTTGGTGGGGTTGAACTAGAGGCAAATACATAGAGGTATTTCTTACATGGGACTTAACTAAAGGTAAATATAGAAATATTTCTTACATGGGAGATAACTAGAGGATAAGATAGAAGTATTTCTTACATGGGACTGAAGGTAAACATAGAAATATTTTATAACATGGGAGATTACTAGAGGCGAACGTAGAAATATTTCTTACATGGGACTTAACTAAAGGTAAACAAAGAAATATGTATAACATGGGAGATAACTAAAGGAATAACTTAAGGCATACACATAGAAATGTTTCTTACAAGGGAGTTAACAAAAGACAAACATATATGGGAGTTACCTAAGGACAACCATAGAGATATTTCTTTAATGAGAGTTGATTTTCTTACATGCGAATTTAAAATAAATGCACACATACACATATATTTTACAAGGGAGTTTAAGTTAGTACACACACAAGAAGAGGGGAGTAGGGGGGGGGGGTAGGATAGTGGCATAAATAATCACTCAATTGAGACACTCGGCAACACACATCATACTATGTTGACATGTTCCTTCTACCTCTGCAAAATTTAATATATAAACACAATTTACGTATCATAAGTTCTTAATATTAGAATCTAAAATGTATTACTAAAATGTAGCAAATGAAAACTGCAGATAATGTTAAAATAAAAAACGTTGATGCTTCGAAATGCAATAATGTATTTACTCTTTTAATAAATATTGACGATAAAAATAACCAAAAGTGGTACTTCTTCGATGAAATGGCAACAAAATTATAAGAAAATATTTGAGGTATAGAAATTTAAGACTGCATAGGAAACAATTATGGTAAAAAATGTTGAATTTTAATTTAAAGTTCTTCAAAGTACTGAATACAGAACTACCAAATATTTGTACAGAAAAAAACACTAATGTATAAAAATGTACACACGTGTACAAAATGTACACCTATGTGTACAAACGTTAACGGAGTTCAAACAGTGGCTGTCACGGCTAACCGTCTGCCGGTTAAATTTAACCGGTTCGATATACTATTTTATTTATAAACCTCGCAATTGATCGGTTAACCGGACAGGCCACGTTTATTTCGTTGGTTAATTTAACCACATTGGTTATTTTAACCAATGTTAATAATAATAAGTTTTAAATTTTCTTTTGGAATAGAATTTAAGTCATAACCCTGAATGGCTTAGATTTAAAGGCGGCGAAAAAAACGTGACCGGTCGAGCGTGACTTAAAAAACCAGTGAACCGTGACAGCCAGATGCGAATGGTGGAGAATGTCGTCTGCTAAATAAAGTCCGAAGCCCCTTTGTAGCAGACGTAATACTAATTCTAGAATAAATGTTAAGTTAATTTTTGGTAAATAAATTTTAATGATATATAAACGTGTTTTTTTTAAACTAAAATATATTCTCCACCATTTTAAAAACAATTTTAATATAAAATTTATATTTCTAAAAAAAAATAAAAAGAAAAGAATTATTTTCTTTTTATAAGTTTATTTTGCTTGACAAGCCGGCTTATTTTTTTTTTTTTTTTTTAGTTAAGACACGTCACTTCCGGCCACGTTTTTTTAGGCCGACCTCGCCGATCTAGTTTCTCTAGCCAATGGTGCAGCTAATTCGGCAATGCGTTTAGTACATCTTGCCTGGAAAATCAACAAGGATATTTAGAGACATGCAGTTGGACAGAGGCGTAGCGAGGGGGGCGGGGGGCAGTGTTTCTTCCAGACTTTTTTCTCCGGGGGGGGGGGGGCACTTGAAATTTTCGGGGGGGGGGGGGGCGGTAAACTTTCTTCGGGGGGGGGGGGCGGACACTGTTAAAAGTATATATTTTCTATATAAATTATATAACTTTCATTTCGTTCGGGGGGGGGGGGGCGGTAAAAAATTTTCGGGGGGCTTCGACCCCCCGAAGAGATGCCTGGAAGAAACTCTGGCGGGGGGGGGTACATATGTTCCCGGGCGCCGACCTTAGGGGGCGTCAAAATGGGTTGTAAAAATAAATTAAAATCTCATTTTAGCTGCAGTTTTGCATTGTAAATATTAAAAAATATATCGGGGGGGGGGGGGGTGCCAATTGAATGTTTGAGGGGAGACGTTCAAATTGGAAACTGAAAAGTTTTTCCAGAGGGGGGCGCCAAATTAAAAGTTTGTCCCCGGGTGCTGGGAAGGGTCGCCTCTGCAGTAGGATGATAGGATATAGAACGGGGAGATTCTGCCTGATGCAGAACTTACACACCAGAAGTTAGTTCATGACACGTCTGTTTTATTACGAGAAATGCTTTTGGTTCTTTGATATAAATTTTAGAACAGCATTTAGATAAAAAAATCTGGTAAATTTTATTGGTTTAAGATTTTTTTCTTACATTGAATGGACACTAAATCTTGAGTTACTACAGAAATTGCACGCCCGTCAATAGTTAACGATTGCTGCATTTAAAAACAAGTGCCAAGTCAAGTTTATTCCACAGCATTAAAATGTTAACCACAAGTTGGCTCTGTGAAGGCAATTTGTCATTTTTTTTTGTCTAAGCAGACTTAATATTTTCAAATAAATGTGTGTTTAAAATGTCTAATTGTATACCTGCGTTTAAATTGTGCATGTGCCTCTCATTCAGAATAACAGTGTTCAATCACTAATCGCGGGTGTTTAGTTCAAGGCCCACCCGCGTTAACTAAGAGAATTTCGGCGAAGTAGGGACACTATACTTGAGATGTTATACATTATTAGGTAGAATGTTGTGAAGTATTCATAACGATGGATATAAAAAACAGATAAACGCTAAGAATTCAAATATTGCTCTTTTAAAGGCACCATTTCTCGATTTGTTGCGGTATATTCAGTACAGTACATAACTTCTTGCATTTCCGTATTAGACGCTGGCGTTACAGAACTATGAACCAAGAATAGGGGATTTCCTAGCTTTGATTCTTTGCTTGAGTGAACATTGTCTTGGGCACTGTCTTGGAGATGCCAATTGAACTTCTGAGCTCCAAAGAATGAACCATACTCGAATCCCAATCTTCAGCGACGTGTTGAAGCTCATGAGCCTTTCAAAACAGGGTTTCAAGATGTTTAATTTGAAGGAAAGCCTCTTCCTCTTGGTCATCTAATTCCGTTATTCTCATATTCTACTTTTCTACTGATAATTTAGATAAAATCCTCCCGTTTATTATCAGTCCATGGTTGAGTATGGACGTCAAGCGGATCATTAATATCTTCGGTATTTATTTCACTAAAATCATTTTCTGCCTGTGTTTATGTTTAACTAACGGCAGAATGATGAATGCCCAGTGTAATGTGCACCACTTAATAATTTTAAAACCCATGAAAGAGAATGTTTGTACCACACCATTCAGCTCTACATTTTAGCACCACAACGTCCACTCTACATTTTAGCACTACACCTTCCACCTCTACATTTTAGGACCGCACAGTCCATCTCTACATTTTAGCACTACACCTTCCACCTCTACATTTTAGGACCGCACAGTCCATCTCTACATTTTAGCACTACACCTTCCACCTCTACATTTTAGGACCGCACAGTCCATCTCTACATTTTAGCACTACACCTTCCACCTCTACATTTTAGGACCGCACAGTCCATCTCTACATTTTAACATCACACCGACCACCTCTACATACTAGCACCACACCGCCCACCTTTATATTACCATTTGCAATGAATGTTTCTAAAAATAGCCCAACGATTCCACGTACCTTTAGAGCAGATCGCTTGACTGGCTGAATCGGTACACCGTTGGGCGGGTATTTACGCTTGGGTGAGGCGAGTCGACTCCAGTCCACGGTCCTAGGATCGATGTCTGACCTGAAGGGGGGGGGGGGAGACAATCGAAACGGTTACTGGATCTACTAGCATGGCAACTATCCGCTATAAGAAAAACTTTGATTTCAAAAATAAGAAATGAAAATTACATTTTTTTTAGAGACAATCACTGTTCTAAAGCATATTAATTTAGTAACAGATAAAAACATTTAAACCAGTTGTATCTATTAAACGGTAAACGGTTGAAACTGAAAAAATAAACAAAATCTATACCCCTTCCCCATTTGAAATAGCACAATATTTTTAAAAAATGTAAATTAACCCTACCCTATCCAATTTAACAATATATCACGATCTTTACCCAGTGATGACTAAGTTGCAGTAGTTTACTAGCACGGGTGAATTAAAACCAGTTATTTTGGGAAATACCAAAACTTGTGTGCTATAAAGAAAAATGATACAAGGAAATGTAGAAAAAAAACTTACACGGGAGGCTTAGGATATTCACCCTCCCAACAGCAATGTCTGAAACAGGGGAGAGAAGCGAGATTATACGAAAAGTAGAAATTCAATGACTTATCTCTCTTTGAACACATCAAGTGAACAAAGGGAGACTAGCATAATTTACCTAAAATTTATTATTTAATTGAGTTATCTCCCGTTGTACATGGCATTATTAAGAAGCTGAATAAGCGAACACACATTAGCACGACAAACAATAATGGTGACTAGCTAGCAAAGTTTACACAATCAAAACCTAAACAGCTAATTAAACCACGTGTATCCAAAAATAGAAACTGACCTCGCTCCAATAAACTCGCCGCAGACGACCTTGGGTATTGCCAATTCATCCAGCCGTTCAGATGTTTCTAGAAGTTATGAATGGAAATAATCACCAGAGGTATTTTTAAGTATGGTTATTTAAACTTTCCCTGTTTATTTAAACTTAGGCGCAAATCCATTATGTATAAAGATAATTCATGTAAAACTGTATTTCGAGTCTTAATGTTAAATACACAAAAATGATTTACATTGTGATCTAGAACAAAGCAAGTTTTATGTGAATTTAGGCTTCTTTCATTACTATGTTTCTTTTTTAATCGATTTCTTTAATGTATCTCTCCCCCTCCACCCCACTCCCAATCCCGAATTTTTCGGGGGGGGGGGGGGGGGTAGACTTTCTTCGGGGGGGGGGGGGGGAGACTGTTAAATGCAAATATTCTCTATATACATTCCATTTCGTTCGGGGCAGGGGGGGGGGGGGCAGTAGACTTTCTTCGACCCCCCCCCCCCCCCCCCCGGAAGAGATGCCTGGAAGAAACTCTGCCAAAAGTTTAGGTGCCTCCCCCACCCCAGCAGAAAACGACTGAACGTAACACTGATATGATATTGCGAATTCAGTTGGAAAATTATTATAAAATTATTATAAAATATTATAAAATAGTAGTTGGAGATTTTTATTTTTCTTGGCGATCAAATTTTATCGCTTTGCGACTATGATAAACAATGATAAAATCTTGTACTATTCCTAATCCTTAATCTGATTTTAAATTAGGTTATATAACTCAGCTAAACCTTACCCTTATCATATGGTATACAGTATCCAAATTAAATAAAACCAACTAAACGAAACAATATTTTTTTCTAAATTATTAGCGTAGCATTGAAGCAAGTAATAAAATTCTATGTTTTGATTTAAATTAAATGTATGTGAAACTACTTATTGTAAATAGTGTGTCCTGTAAATATTGTGTAGTGAAATTGTTTGACGTTTGTGAACGATTGACGTTGTATCGAGTGAACGAGCTCAGCAAGGGAAGCGACTCTGTTTATGTTTACATTGTAACGTGGGTTAGATGTAAGGGAGAATACTAGACGTACACGGGAAGTAAGTCACTCATGTTTACGTGTGTTGTGAGACGCTTACACGTTCTGACATGGGTATGATGTGTTGGATAATGACAGACATTAATCAGTTTCTATTAATATCTGCTTTGAGTCTGATGTTGTGATTGTCATCACATTCAATCGTTAACAGGGGCTACTGAAGAGCTGTAGGTATACGGTATGGGAACTAAGGTTTAGAAGTAGTTAAAACATCGACCTACCGAAATGGGTGTGGTTGCAGCATTCTGGTTTAGGTGGGGGGCGCTTGGTGATCCAGTAGACAGATTTCCTAGACACAAGGTCAGAGGTTATGTTATTCAACAATAAGAGCACATGAGGTCAAAGGTTATCTTTTACAACAATGGCAGCACTAGGTCAGAGGTCATGTTTTACAGAAATGTAGCAGTAGGTCAAAGGTCATGTTATTCAACAATGACAGCACAAGGGCAGGGATCATGTTATACAACAATGGAAGCACTAGGTTTATCGGTTATGTTATACAACAATGGCAGCAATAGGTTTATCGGTTATGTTATACAACAATGGCAGCAATAGGTTAGAGGTCATGTTATACAACAATGAAATCACTAGGTTTAGAGGTCATGTTATACAACAATGGAAGCACTAGGTTAGAGGTCATGTTATAATACAACAATGGAAGCACTAGGTTAGAGCTCATGTTATACAACAATGGAAACACTAGATTTAGAGGTCATGTTATACAACAATGGAAGCACTAGGTTAGAGGTCATGTTATACAACAATGGAAACACTAGATTTAGAGGTCATGTTATACAACAATGGAAACACTAGGTTAGAGGTCATGTTATAATACAACAATGGAAGCACTAGGTTAGAGGTCATGTTATAATACACCAATGGAAGCACTAGGTTAGAGCTCATGTTATACAACAATGGAAACACTAGATTTAGAGGTCATGTTATACAACAATGGAAACACTAGGTTAGAGGTCATGTTATAATACAACAATGGAAGCACTAGGTTAGAGCTCATGTTATACAACAATGGAAACACTAGATTTAGAGGTCATGTTATACAACAATGGAAGCACTTTGTAACAGTATAAACCACACTGAACACAAGTTCTGAGGTTTTTTATCCGAGAATTACATTGACACCTAACCTACTTATTGTGAACACAGATGTGTCCTTGACCCCTAACCTACATGTTGTGAACGCAGATGTGTCCTTGACCCCTAACCATATGGTGTGAACACAGATGTGTGTCCTTGACCTACCTGTTGTCCTGGTACTCGCACGGCAACCGTTTGGGCTGAGCTAGCTCATCGATACGGTTGGTCACTGGGGAGGGTTCAAGGGGTTGGTCAAATACATTCATAAACAGTGGGGGTTCTAGGGGTTGGTTATAAACAGTGGGGGTTTAAGGGGTTGGTCATAAACAGTGGGGGTTTAAGGTGTTAGGGTATAGGGTTTTATGGTGTTGGTCAAATACAGTCATAAACAGTGGGGGTTTAAGGGGTTGGTCATAAACAGTGGGGGTTTAAGGTGTTAGGGTATAGGGTTTTATGGTGTTGGTCAAATACAGTCATAAACAGTGGGGGTTCTAGGGGTTGGTTATAAACAGTGGGGGTTTAAGGGGTTGGTCATAAACAGTGGGGGTTTAAGGTGTTAGGGTATAGGGTTTTATGGTGTTGGTCAAATACAGTCATAAACAGTGGGGGTTTAAGGGGTTGGTCATAAACAGTGGGGGTTTAAGGTGTTAGGGTATAGGGTTTTATGGTGTTGGTCAAATACAGTCATAAACAGTGGGGGTTTAAGGTGTTAGGGTATAGGGTTTTATGGTGTTGGTCAAATACAGTCATAAACAGTGGGGGTTTAAGGGGTTGGTCGAATACAGTCATAAACAGTGGGGGCTTAAGGGGTTGGTCAAATACAGTCATAAACAGTGGGGGTTCAAGGGGTTGGTCATAAACAGTGGGGGTTTAAGGGGTTGGTCCAATATAGTCATAAACAGTGAAGGCTTAAGGGGTTGGTCAAATACAGTCATAAACAGTGGGGGTTCAAGGGGTTGGTCATAAACAGTGGGGGTTTAAGGGGTTGGTCGAATACAGTCATAAACAGTGGGGGCTTAAGGGGTTGGTCAAATACAGTCATAAACAGTGGGGGTTCAAGGGGTTGGTCATAAACAGTGGGGGTTTAAGGGGTTGGTCCAATATAGTTATAAACAGTGAAGGCTTAAGGGGTTGGTCATAAACAGTGGGGGCTTAAGGGGTTGGTCATAAACAGTGGGGGCTTAAGGGGTTGGTTAAATACAGTCATAAACAGTGGGGGTTCAAGGGGTTGGTCATAAACAGTGGGGGTTTAACGGGTTGGTCGAATACAGTCATAAACAGTGGGGGCTTAAGGGGTTGGTCAAATACAGTCATAAACAGTGGGGGTTCAAGGGGTTGGTCATAAACAGTGGGGGTTTAAGGTGTTAGGTATAGGGTTTTATGGTGTTGGTCAAGTCATAAACAGTAGGGGTTTTTAATGGTTTCGGGGGTGATGTCAAATTAAATCATATACAGTGAAGGTTCAAGGTGTTAAGGTATTGTCAAACTCAGCCATAAAAAGTGAAGGTTCAAGGTGTTAGGGTATAGGGTTTTATGGTGGTCAAATACAGTCATGAACAATGAGGTTTCAAGATGACAGGGATCAGGGTGATACTCAAATACAATACAAGAACAATAGCGAGTGTATAGGTAGTAGGGGTTTGTATAATATACAATAATATACAAGAATACAAGACAGGGTTCAAGATAACATGGTTGATGTCATTTAAATAAAAGAACAGCTGAGAGGGTTTAAAATACAATAGCTTAGGTAGTTATTCAAATAAAAAAAAACACTGGAGAGAGATTAGGGTTCAGCCTAAAAAAGGGTTTATTTTATTATTCACGTACAATTAGAAAACTTTAAAGAGTAGGCCTATACAACAAAGAATTTAGGTAGCTTTTTCAAATACACGACAATCACTTTAGAGAACGTTTAATATATTTATGTTGTGATTTAAGCAAAGTAGGTAAAAGTAAAAGCCAGTATAAGAGACGGTAAAAAAGTACAAACATTTAGCATATAAATGGGTCATCCATCAGGAATTCACACTTAGGGAGTAATAGGATGGATTGAGTGGCTTCAGACAGATGTGAAGCAGTGTACCTCCTGGAGTGGGGGGGGGGGGGAGTTTGTCAAGGGAACGGTTTGAAAATTGAAACAGATTATTTGTATCTATTTGATAAAAACCAACATTGTGAAATTATAACTACTTCCATTACCATTATGACTTGTTTATTTTTAAAAGGGGTTGGGGGGGGGTGTATTTACAACGTATGTTTAAAGGGTGAGTTGATTTTTAGTGAAAACAGGTAGTTAATCTTTTAAACCAATGGTTTTAAATCTATCATTTATTAAGCATGAGTTTTTAACCCGTAACATATCTATCATTTAAGTATGATTCTATAACATGTAACGAATCTACAATTTAAGCTTGGATTTATAACCCGTAACAAATATATCATTTAAACCCGTCACAAATCTGTCATACCCCTACACCCCCCCTCCCCCCACCGCAGTTCTAACACAGACAGATCCTTACCTTGACAATCCTGCCACCGCTCAGGATTCGCCCCAAATTTGCCCCTCATGTCCTTCAAGAAGTTGTTGTTGTGATCAGGATCTATCTCCCCAGGCTTGCACTGCTTCTTCTTGCCCTTACCATCGCTTCCCTTCGCGTTTTCGTTCGCTCTTGCTTCACTCTGTTTCCGCTCGTTCGCTTTCGGTTCCCCCTTCTTCGCTTTGTTCTTATTCGCTTCATCTTTCTGTTTTTCTTGCTCGAAGTTGTAGTTAAAAGTCCTAGGGAAGTAGGGCTTGGGTTCGCCATTGCTGTAGAAGTCATCGGATTTGAGATACGAGTAACTGGAGTTGTTGGCGCTCGATGGTTGGTAAGTCTTGGCGTTGTATTGGCTTTCGTATTTGATCATGGACAAGGGGTCTTTGACTAAATAAGGATCAAGGGCGTCGTTGTAGGTAAAGTTGAGCTTAATGTCTAGCTTGTGTTTCGGACAGGGGAGGTAGTTACGTACGTCGAACGATGTCAGTTCCTCGACGTAGCTGCGGTTGGTGTTGGAGGGAATGTGAAGGTCATTGGACGCCGTGGGGGTGGTTCCAGTGAGGGCCGAGGGGTTTCCTCCATAGGAGGTGGTGGGGACGTAGCTACTGGTGCCGAAGTTCATGGTGGGGGTAGCTGGAACACACTCAGATTTCAAAACACCCGTTGAGAGAGAAGATGCTGCGTACCGCAGAATGCTGAGCAATGGGACAGCTCTCCGTCAGAGTGTGCCTCAAGAGTTTTGCATTCATTCATTCTGTAAGGCAAGATGTGAGATTGGTAGGCTGCAACTGTGAGTAACGGTTGGTGTTGTAGTTGTGTACGTTCTCAAGTGGTTTTGCGGGTGTAGACTAGTTCAATGAACACTCGTATTTTTTGGGTTTTGGGTTAACTGATTTGGTAAGTTAGTTGAATGATTTGGTAAGTTAGTTGAAGGATTTGGTAAGTTAGTTGAATGATTTGGTAAGTTATTTGAATGATTTTGGTAAGTTAGTTGAATGATTAGGTGAGTTAGTTGAATGATTTGGTGAGTGTGATAGTTGAATGATTAGGTAAGTTAGCTGAATGTTTTGGTGAGTTATGTAGTTGAATTATTAGGTGAGTTAGTTGAATGATTTGGTGAGTGGGATAGTTGAATGATTAGGTAAGTTAGTTGAATGATTTGGTAAGTTAGTTGAATGATTTGGTAAGTTAGTTAAATGATTAGGTAAGTTAGTTGAATGATTAGGTGAGTTAGTTGAATGATTTGGTGAGTGTGATAGTTGAATGATTAGGTAAGTTAGCTGAATGTTTTGGTGAGTTATGTAGTTGAATTATTAGGTGAGTTAGTTGAATGATTTGGTGAGTGGGATAGTTGAATGATTAGGTAAGTTAGTTGAATGATTTGGTAAGTTAGTTGAATGATTAGGTAAGTTAGTTGAATGATTTGGTGAGTGGAATAGTTGAATGATTAGGTAAGTTAGTTGAATGATTATGTAAGTTAGTTGAATGATTAGGTGAGTTATGTAGTTGAATAATTAGATGAGTTAGTTGAATGATTTGGTGAGTGGAATAGTTGAATGATTAGGCAAGTTAGTTGAATGATTAGGTGAGTTATGTAGTTGAATAATTAGATGAGTTAGTTGAATGATTTGGTGAGTGGAATAGTTGAATGATTAGGCAAGTTAGTTGAATGATTAGGTAAGTTAGTTGAATGATTAGGTGAGTTAGTTGAATGATTAGGTGAGATATGTAGTTGAATGATTAGATGAGTTAGTTAACTGATTTGGTGAGTGGGATAGTTGAATGATTAGTTAAGTTAGTTGAATGATTAGGTAAGTTAGTTGAATGATTAGGTGAGTTAGTTGAATGATTAGGTGAGTTATGTAGTTGAATGATTAGATGAGTTAGTTGAATGATTTGGTGAGTGGAATAGTTGAATGATTAGGTAAGTTAGTTGAATGATTAGGTGAGTTATGTAAATGAATGATTAGATGAGTTAGTTGAATGATTTGGTGAGTGGAATAGTTGAATGATTAGGTAAGTTAGTTGAATGATTAGGTAAGTTAGTTAAATGATTTGGTGAGTGGAATAGTTGATTGCACACTCTGGGTTTTTTTTTGTTTGGTTTGTATGTCCGTGCATTGTGTATTTCTTGGTGTGCTTTTAAATAGCTCTTTGTTTTCAAACGTCAAATGAGAATAATAACCTTTTTTTGTTTACATCGTCACTACACTTGCCCTAATCCTAATTTTGAACCCTAACCATTTATCCCGAATCAATCAATACGGTTTTAAAATATACCTCAGTAAGGTACAACATTGCATTTCTTAGATGCCCCATAAAGAACATTTAAACACGATGTTAAAAAAAAGCATTCAAAGAAAAAAAGAGAATCAATAGTTGTTATCGATCTCCTTGGAAGTTTTATCTAAATTTATAATGAAAGCAGGATCGTGCCCCGTCCATTGCATGGATAATTTGAGCTGAAAAGGCTTAATTGGCCAGATAAATTGTCATGGTGGAAAGCCAACCTGCCAATTACTGACCCATCAATGGCCAGCTGGATAGATTCTTCTTTGAAGAATTTACATATCCAATTACTGGTTTTCTGTGGGAGATAAACTCTGCTTGGACAAAATGAGGTAAAATTGTATCATGCTTCACCGAGGTCAAGTTTTAGAGTTGAAAAAATTAATAGTTTTTATGTTTAAACAAACTATAATTGTATTAATTTTAAAACAAAAGTAAACTTTCATTGTGTTTTATAAATAGTTTCGTATGTAAATAATAGAGCTGATCAAATAATACTCACAAACAAATCCCTAATCGAATATAAGTAGAAATAGATTTAACCATAAACATCACTGGACATAAACTAAGTTTGGTTTGAGATTTATATAATAGTTTTGAGTTAAACTTGAGGTTTAAGTTACGAATAATATCAGGATTTGAGTTTAATATATCTATCATTTGGTTATACAAAGTAATTTAGTTTATTGTGCTAGTTAAATGATAAAAAGCTCATGAGATAAGTTCTAGCTCTGCTTCCGATCTTAACCCTAACCTCACCTTGGCGAATACTTTTATCGTAAACACCTAGCTTTTAGCCTTGCTTCAATCCTAACACCACCTTGGCCAATACTTTTATCGTAAACACCTAGCTTTTAGCCTTGCTTCAATCCTAACCCCACCTTGGCCAATACTTTTATCGTAAACACCTAGCTTTTAGCCCTGCTTCAATCCTAACCCCACCTTGGCCAATACTTTTATCGTAAACACCTAGCTTTTAGCCCCGCTTCAATCCACGGCCGACGCTACCTAGGCGAACTAGGCGGTCGCCTAGGGCTCCATCCATAAGGGGCGCAAAATGTTTAATCGCTATTATCAAAAAGTACCTAATAATTAATAACTTTTATAAAGGAGTAGCGATATATTGGTAGAACCCAGGACGAACTATCAATCTTGCACCCCCACCCCAAAATTAAAACCATATAGGCCTATATTTATTCGCGATGGTGAAAATGCAACTCCACATCCCTAATTTGGAAAGGTCGGGGCGCTTTTTACAAGTCGCTTTGCCTTTTTAATTTGGTGGCACATAATTGATGTAGAAAACGATTAAATAAGTTCGTTCTTAAAATTTCGAACATTTCAAACGGTTATTTAATTTTAATAGGGCTTGTAAGTCTCGCTTTCACTGACTTTGAATTAGAAATCTGTCCTGGTGTAGAGAGTTTTGTAATGACTGGGTGTTCATAGTATTGTACTTGTTGGTAAGTTTTGATGAATCGTTTAGATCTGGGAGTAACGTTGTAAGGCTGTTGCTGATATGGTTTCGTAGGTATAAAGTATCGAAGTGTTAAAGTGTCGTATTTTTTATTTGACTGTTGTCGTGTAGTTGAAGGTCTAGTGGAATCGGATTTGCAATAGAGAAATGAGAATGCAGGTGATGAAGTATCGTAGTTCTGGAGTTCGAGGGTATTGATTCTTGTGGTATTATGGTATCGAAATATATTGACTGTTAAAGTGTAGTAGTAGGTCCAGTGAAATCGTTGTTGGTTGGGAGTACCGTTTGTAGAACTTGGTGAAGTTAAACGAGTTGGTGTAGTAGTTTTGGAGCATCGAGTCTAGTTATGTTTAGGTATCTAAGTTTGATATATGTTGTGAATGTAGTAGAGTATATCGAGTAGTCGAGTTTATCGTAAGTTAAATGATTTCAATTCAGAACGGAACACACTATTAAGAAATGTAGACGTTCTCTAGCTGAAAAATCTTTAGTTTTTTTAGGAATCTATATTACCACTCTTAAAGTATTACTATTTAATATTAAACAGGATGGAATTTATAACTAACCGTAAACTTTGTTTTTTTTTTTTCAAATTATAATCTTTTTGTAGGTAACCAATAATTATAGCAATGTCTAAAACATTTACCCCTGTTTGATTTTTTGAAAGGTGTCCCTTTTTTTAGGGATCCAAAATTTTATAAAAAAAAACGGTTGACAATATGCACTTAAAGTAGTGTCGTCGAACTTGAATGGAAGTATGTTGTAATAACGCTATCGCTTTTAGACTTTCAAACAAAACCTATACTTAAGTATTCAATGGGTAAAATATATTGTTTTCACAAGGTTACATAGATAATATAAAACATTTTAATATAATAATTACGTAATGAAATTTAGAGCATTTTATTGTGAATTTTAAGCATTTCATAGTTACACTTGGTTAAATAAGCTATTTTTGTGAAAGTTATTTCCCTTGAATAAAATTTTGGTATTTGGATTTTCAAATGGGAGATAATTTGTTGCTTAACTTTACATTCATTTCAAATTCCTGCACCTTAGATTGACCGCTTACATATAAATACAACTTTAAGTTATTACTTGCTATTGTAACAATTATATAGAACTCAAGTTCTAAACAAAATAGTTTGGTAGTTTTATTTTAGCAATATTAAGTTGAAAAACAAATACCTCAGTAGCCGTTATAGATTGCAATACTAAATGTTAGTAGACATATAGTCGTAAATTTAACATCTAATTAATTGTCTTTTCATATTTTCACCCTCTCCTAAAGGATTCATATAAAACAATTTTAGGCTGAAATCTATATTATTTACAACCTTTTATTTTTCATAAACCAAAAAATCGTTACAAAATCATACAATATAGGCAGTTTACAATTATAACTAAAGACAGTCAAGCTTAAAACAGGTAAGTTTCGTTTTGGAACTCACCTTGGGAGGACTGCAGAGAGCCTAACACTACAAGAACTTTTTTTGATTCAGTGTTTTTTTTTTCAGACTTTTTTTTCTCCCGGAAGCATTTACAATTTTCTAAAGGGGGAGGGAGGGGGGGGGGGGGCTATGTCGTAATGTACAAAGTAGACTCGTGCACTTAGCAACAATTTCAATAAAATGTGTTTACGCTTTCTAACTGGAATTGAGACGAAGTAGGCAAGTAAAATTTGATTTTTATGTCTACTTATAACGTGTATGCAATTGATAATAAATTAATGTCACTTATAATTGATTGTTTTCTGATATATATATATATATATATATATATATATATATATATATATATATATATATATGTTTTAGTAATTAACTTTTGTGAAAGGGGGCGTTTTATTAAGTTTTGCCTGAGGCGCTAAATAACCTGGCGCCGGAACTGCTTAAATCTTAACCCTAGCCCTAATCAGTTTAAAAATGGTTGATAACCCTACTCTTTATTGTAAACGACTGGTTATTTGGGCCTTTTTTAAATCCAGTTTAAAAATTGCTGCCAGTAATGTGGAATAATCATATAGTTAAATTAGTTAAGAATAACCTAACCTTTTAACCCTTCCTTTACCAGCACCTATATTCATATTGTAGACACCCAACAATTTAGCCCTGCTTTAATTATAACTCTCATCAATTTAAACATCGTTGCCGGTTATATGGAATAATTGCATAGTTATTTTATTTAGGTATAAGTATAACCTAGCGTCCTAACCCTCTAACCCTAACATAACAAGTAGTTTTTGGCCCTCCCTTCAATCTTAAAACTAACCCTAACTCTTTTAAAAATGTTACCGGTGATGTGGAATTGTCGTATAGGTAAATTAGTTCAGTATACTCCAACATCCTAACCCTACCCTGACCACTGCCTATATTGTATTGTAGAGAACTAGCTTTTAGTCCAGATTTTAATCCTAACCAGTTTAAGTAGTGTTGTAGGTGATGTCCTAACTCTACCCTAACCACTGCCTATATTGTAGAGAACTAGATCTAGCTGATTTTAATCCTAACCAGTTTAAAAAGTGTCGCAGGTGATGGCCTAACCCAACCCTGACCACTGCCTATATTGTAGAGAACTAGCTGATTCTAATCCTAACCAGTTTAATGAGTGTCGCAGGTGATGTCATAACCCTACCTCGACCACTGCCTATATTGTAGAGAACTGATTTTAATCCTAACCAGTTTAAAAAGTGTCGCAGGTGATGTCCTAACACCCTACCCTGACGACTGCCTATATTGTAGAGAACTAACTGATTTTAATCCTAACCAGTTTAATGAGTGTCGCAGGTGATGGCCTAACCCTACCCTGACCACTGCCTATATTGTAGAGAACTAGCTGATTTTAATCCTAACCAGTTTAAGAAATGTTACAGTTGATGTCCTAACCCTACCCTGACCACTGCCTATATTGTAGAGAACTAACTGATTTTAATCCTAACCAGTTTAAAAAGGTGTCGCGGTTGATGTCCTAACCCTACCCTGACCACTGCCTATATTGTAGAGAACTAGCTGATTCTAATCCTAACCAGTTTAATGAGTGTCGCAGGTGATTGCCTAACCCTACCCTGACCACTGCCTATATTGTAGAGAACTAACTGATTTTAATCCTAACCAGTTTAAGAAGTGTCGCAGGTGATGGCCTAACCCTAGCCTGACTAGGTTTCAACTTATGTTGGAAACAGTTCACACCCGGTCCTGGGACGGTGTGGTCGAACAGTAGAGCGTTCGACTGCAAACTCGATGGTCTAACCTTAAGGAAAGTAAAGGTGACTGGGAATAAAGCTTATAGCACTATCTATTTATATTCCGGGGTCGCTGAAATAGGTGAACTCTACTTCACCTGTCCCACGGACCGTAAGGCTCGAAACGGTACTTCAACACAGTCATAACATCAAAACATACTTTAGGGAACAGGAGCCATTTTGTTTTCTATACGACAATCTTAGAATCAACAAACTTAGTTATGATCAATACAGTTAAATTGTTTTAACCGGAATGTTTGTTTTTTTAACGTGGCGAAATAGTTCACGTAACGTACGTGATCGAGCGAGAATTCGAAGCGTGTAATGTCAAGAGAAAAGTCTAAAACTTACTAGAGTGACCCGGTCTAGTTTGAAGTAAGCCAGTCGGTCAGCTGAAGGTGTACGGCATGGAAGTGACGTCACTCGGTTGCTGCGCTTTTAGGCACCAGTGCGCATCGTGCGATTCGTGTTCAGTGTGCATTATTGATAAGTTGCTAGCATCATTGATTATTAGATGAGGGCTTTTCGTTTATCTTCTGTGTAACAGAAAAAACTATATTATCTATTTTAATAAAATTAAATAATTATAAACCTATATTTAGTAAACAGAAACCTTAACTGCAAACATTATATTACCGAGGTTACTCTTCGTAACCTCGCACACTATAGGGCAGTTGAAGTAGAGTCCTTCTGTTTCTGTCATCTTGACATATCAAGTAATTTTGAAGTCAGTTATATGACCAACCGTCTTTACTTTTACGAAGTCGGGAGCCCATCATAGGTAGGCAAATTCATTGACTTCCTACGGGAATAAATTTTAATTAATGTATTCATGTTTTATTTTATATCTTGCCAAATTTCGTGTTTAAGTTATAAGCTTACTTCAGTTGCTTATAAAAAGTTGTTTTAATTTTTTAAATTTTCACATACAGATCCATGTTATTTAGCTTTAAAATGTGTCTATTTCTTAAATGTAGTTTAGATGGACTGCTGAACGAAACAGGGATCTTTCCACATGAGTCCCTTGGAAGCTTTAGATCTCGCCAACCAAAAAAAAAATTATAAAAATAGGATATGAAACTTGTAATTTTAGATTGTAGTAAAGAGAGTGAAATCGAGACATGTCAGTAATAATTTGCATGAAAAAGTCTGTATTTGGGTACCTTGAACATTAACCCTCGATTTCGGGTGCGTGCATTAAATTTGAGCGGCAAAACATGACGGGGCTTAAATTTTCGCCAGTGCAATTGGTGCCTTAGTGGCGGGGCTTATCTGGAAAAGACCCGAGTGTCGTCCTCATTGTCCTCCATTCCACTGTCTCCAGTACCTCTGCCAGTATCGAACCCGTCCAATCAACTGTCTTCTACATCCCCAGTGCCTCTGCCAGTATCGAACCCGTCCATTTCACTGTCTTCTACATCCCCAGTACCTCTGCCAGAATCGAACCCGTCCATTCCACTGTCTTCTACATTCCCAGTGACTCTGCCAGTATCGAACCCGTCCATTCCACTGTCTTCTACATCCCCAGTACCTCTGCCAGAATCGAACCCGTCCATTCCACTGTCTTCTACATTCCCAGTGACTCTGCCAGTATCGAACCCATCCATTCAACTGCCTTCTACATCCCCAGTGCCTCTGCCAGTATCGAACCCGTCCATTCAAAATGTCTTTTTATTTTGTCATTCATCCGCCTCTTTAGTTTATCTGGTTCTTCTTCTTCGTTCGTAATTCTTGTGTTGGAACACAAAATTAAGTATGCGTGTCAACTTGTTATGCGACATATAGGCTGTTTACTTTGATTTCAGCCTGCTTTTCTTTTTCAAGAACAAACTACAAGGCTGCACTTGTTTGATTTTGGAGTTGCTGTCACCAGCTATCAAGCCTCATCTGTCCGAGGGTTCGAACTCGAGACTGCTCAGTTTATCAACCATGTGCTTTACCGACTTGACGACACCGACCTCAGGATCTTTGACATGTCCGTACAATTAAGTTTACGTTTTGTTTAAATTATTGTCAGCAGTTCATTATGCTAGCCTTTTCCTATATGGACTATGTCATGGGTAACGTTTTTTGTAATACTTTTTTTGTGTTTGTAATTACATCAGTTTATTATCATCATTTATTCATCTTGCGTTGCTATGGTTACTTTTTAAATTAGTGGCTGTTCGTCTCCATGTCTGACCATAGTTTGTGTCTCTGTATATTTAAACTAGCCCCCTGCTTTTTTGACTGATGTTTGTATTTTGAATTCATTCCTCGTCCACGCTTCTGTCGTTTTGCTTTAGTGATTTTATTTTTCTTTGTGATGGCTCAAAACTTGCGAGCGAAATTTCAACCATTTACACCAAACGCATTTTTAAAAAAAACCGTAAGATGTTTCATTTATTGTTTAAAGTTAAAGCATCTTCAACATCAATGTAATAGTTTTTATTTTACTGTTTTGTGCTATAAAACATGGAATTTAAAGTAATATTTCATTAAAAAAAACAATATTGGAAATATTACTTTTCTTTAATTCTTTATATTTTTGTGTAAATGTGATTTTCTAATGTTGCTGTCACAGACTGTATTATTATGTATCCTTGTTATATTGTGTTTTGCATGAATGAAGAGTACCTGGCTAGCGGAAGGACTGTCTGAGCGATCGTCATGTGTTTTTTCATGCTTTTGGGTGAGATCGCTCATGTACGTAAGGGGAGAGAAAGTAGTGAATAAAAGGGAGAGCAAAAAGGTGAACGGGTGTTGTGTGCTAGAACTTGAACCTGAGGACTGTGGCTGTGAATGTAGGATGTTACTACGACACTTTGTTTCTTGACTGTGATTGTACTTATACCAGTTGTGACCATGGATTTACTATGGATCTATTAATTCTCTGTACAAAGTGTAAATAAAGTTATTGTTTCACAACTACTGTTGCTCGTATGAGTATATTGAAGAACCCACAATAACAACAAAGAATTCATGTTGTTACATATGGTGTCAGAAGTGGAGGCAATAAAGTGATGTTGCTACATTGTATTACTGTTACTTATGATGTCACAAGTGGTTGAAGAATTGGTGCTACATATGTCAGAAATGGAGATATTACAGTCTGTGGTCTTCCACTGTTTACCAAGTACGTCAAGTTCTTGAAAGTCATCTATCTACACTCAAGTCAGAAGGGTTGCTGTAGTCAAGTCAGACGTTTTGTTCAAGTCAAGTCATCAACGTGATAATTTTTATCACCTTATTTCGATATTGTCTCACCAATGTCGAGTAAATATCGTCTGTGTGTTTTTTCTGTTTGGATTTAGCCGATCAAGTCTTAGTGTTTCTTTTCTACTGTTTGGATTTAGCTGTTCAAGTTTTTTCTATATGGATTAGCTGTTCAAGTTTTTCTACTGTTTGGATTTAGCAGATCAAGTTTATTTTTGTAACTGTTCCTAAACTGTTCCTAAAGATGTCTTATCTAAAACTGGACAAATTTCTACTCTGTAACAGGCTACTAGAACTATTTTGAATTTTTTTCAACTTTTTGGAATCAACAAAGTGAACTATTTTTTGGAATTCTATGAACTTTTCTTGGATTACTAGATGTCTCTAATCAACTGAACAAAGCCAGAATACAAGAAAGGGTATTGTAAATTAATTAACATTTATCTATTGTCAACTAATGAATTTATATTTTATGTCATAAATAGAAAATATATCAAAATGTTATGTTTTGAAGAATATCTAGCACTAGCGAGGGCGCAAGGCATTAAGAAGATGAAGAAGCAGATAGCCTGGGCAAACACTCGATTTGACCGAGACATAGAAAAAGCATTAGAAGCATGGGACGAAGAAAATGAACAACCCAGACTAGCTCATGGAAATGTATTGAGAGAACTAGATGATGTGATAGAAATAGTGTGTAATAAATCAAGAGGTATTACAGAAATGCAAGAAGAAGAAAAAATGTCAGATGGAGATAAAGTAGAGGAGACTGTACAACCAAAAGGAAAGAGAAAAAAAAGAAACAGAAAACAGAGAGCAGATAATAGGGCTGAAACTATGGAAAAACAAGTAGGCCTACATGAACTAGCATATGAACAAGAACTATTAGAAATGAAAGCTACAACAGACACAAATGAACCAAAATTAGAAAGTGAACAGACAGAATTTAAAGCAGAACTTGAAGAAGTAAATATTGGCAACCTTTGGAATGAAGAACAAAGTAACATAGTCCAGGAAGTATTGAAACCCAAGGATAAAACAGAGGTTGAAGTTAATAATGATTTAAAGGTGACAGATACATTAGAATGTCTTAAGATTGACTCTTTATTGAATGATACGCAGGTACACGAGAATATTACTGAAAGTTGTATCATAAGTCCATCAGAGAATGGCAGTCAACAAGAAACAAGTCCATCAGAGAATGGTAGTCAAAATGATTTAATAAGCCCATCAGTGAATGGCAGTGATGATTTAATAAGTCCATCGGAGAATGGCAGGAATCATGATGAACTAATGATGATTAATGAATCAGTGAACTTAATAAGCCACAATGAAGAAAACGTACCTATTGAGGAGTTACTTAGAAATCTGGAGTCAAACTATAAAGAAGATATATTAGAACTCAAGAATAAATTTAACAAAGAAATGGAGAAATTAACCCAGAAATTTATGTGTGAACTAGAATCAATAAAGAAGCACAAGGAAGTTAAGAAAGATGAAACAATATCCACAAACTACAATGTCAATAAATTACAAACTGACAGTAAAAGAAATTTAGCAAACTATGATTACAGTCAACATGTTAATAAGAATGTCATTAATGTCATTAATGCACAGAATGAAAGAAAAAGAAATTTAGCAAACAGTCAACATGTTTATAAGAAGCCAAAATCTAGATGTTTTTACTGCGGAAAAACAGGTCATTACCAAAATCAATGTTGGCATAGGTTGGCAAATCAGAGAAGAAACAATTATGTACACAGAAAGTCATGTGAGAAATACAGTAATTTAAGGAATAATGTATCAAGTTCAAATCAGAATAACAAAAGTGTGAATAGGTATACTAATGGAAGTTACCGACGCAACACATATTATGAGAGGCCAAAGCAATGCCATAATATTTATATTGAGTTGGTTGATGAACCAAACCAACATACACAAAGCAAGATAACCACTGACGTTGTTCAGAAACCAGAGGAGAATATTAAAACAAATGAAGTAACACAAGTTACACGAAATCTAGGAAATGATTATGGTAGCACAGCTAAAAGCTACAATTTGAGGGAGAGATGGCATACAGGTCATCGTCAACTGCACGAGAACGATTACTCATGCTATAGAGGATGCTAAGATAAATTATCAATTGACAGTTTATTAATATTATACAGTCTGTAACTGTAATACATAAATATCAAATAATGTGTTTGAGTAAACATAAATTGTGTACTATATCTAAAGATTGTAAACT